CGCAAAGCGGCTGCCAGACAACTTTTTTTTCATTTTTAAACTGTATAATTGACCACCACGTCAAATTTCAGGTTTAATAAAATGATTCCTGAGGATCACTTTTCATTACATGTTCAGAGGGTCGCCAGACTCATACCGTCCTGGCTGACAGCCGCCAGACTCTGTGAATATTGTTATTTATTAACTAAACATTGTACATAAAAAATCTCAGCTTTAATAAAATCATTCCGATGTGTTCATTTTTATCGAAAAGATCGACGGCGTCCCGACGCCCGCCGTCCCGGAAGAGGCCTCCAGTCAGACTCTGCATTTTATCATTTTCAACACTAACATAAGAAAAAAAATGGCTTTCCAAGTTTAATAAAATCATGTTCAATTTTGGCCTCTACCTCCCGGGCTATAAACATTAAGCAATCACTTTTCGCAAATTATATTTTTACGTAAAACATACATCTTAATTTATAACTGACCAATAATAATTCATGTTATATATAAACTATTTGAATATTTATAGGACCGGATCAGATACTACCTTCGGATGAGGATGTCACGTGTAACGCCGACGGCAGAGTTCGAATAAAGTTAGACAGCAATGGACCGAATGCATACACACCCGTATCAATCCCTGGAGTTTTCACCAAAACAGCAAAGCTCTATCCTGATCACATCGCGTTGGTGTCTAAACTCGATGTCAACGGCCAAAGAACCATGTATACCTTCCAGTATGTATTTAAAAAATTACAAGATTTTTTGTTTTCTTTATTATCATACCAAGTAATGTAGGTATAACTGGCAAAACCTTTAATTTCTCTCACTTATGGTTTTTGCGAAGTACAAAAATCGTTTTCGTATAAGCTCTTTTTTCTCGATCTGGTTTGCAGATAGATTCGATGAGTCTAGCAACTACATTTATCACGATAAATTGATACGATCAACCTTGTACAACTTTGTATTAATTTGTATTACAGAGAATACGAGTCTACCGTAAGAGTCGTCGCAAAAGCGTTTCTGAAGCTAGGTCTGGAGCGGCATCACAGTGTCTGCATAATAGGATTCAATAGTCCGGAATGGTTCATTGCCGATCTTGCGGCTATATACGCCGGGTAAAAGATCCGAATTGTTTTATGTCTAAATGAGCGTCGCGTTATAATTTATACATGCTATTATACATATTGCTTATACGATAATGACAAGCGATATGTTTTTAACAATGTGTACTTTTACTTTTCTAATTTTTAGATAATAAATAGATCATCATTCTTTTTTAGTGGACTCGCTACAGGAATTTATACTACAAATTCTCCAGAGGCGTGCCAATATTGCGCTGAGCACAGTCGGGCCAATATAATAGTCGTTGAAGATAACAAACAATTGCAGAAAATCTTGCAAATAAGACACAACTTGCCCCATTTGAAAGCAATTGTTCAATACAACGGCGTATCCACCGAAAAGGATGTTTTGAGCGTAAATTGACTGTTATATATTACTCGTCTAATATATATATATATAGGGTAGACCGGGGCACGTTGTCACACATTTGGTTCAATATTTTTTGTATTTTTTACATTCAATATTTAAGAGTACTTTGATACGCCAAAATTTCGAGTGAACCCTTATCTTCAATTGAACAGTATCGAATTTTGTGTGATTGTTACTCTACAGTTGTTACATAACAATAAATAACGACAGGTCGCTTGTGACAACGTGCCCCATGACCGGGGCACGTTGTCACATCAAATGTGATTGCATGCAAAATGTTATCCAAACTGTATTCAACGTAAATATCAATATATTATAGTGCGCTGCAATGTAAAAAAGTAAAATCCTTCACAGAAACATTTATTTTATTTCAGTACAAAAAGCACGAAGTTTTCGTCTTAATCTAAATACAAGAATTCCACTCGAATGCGCAACTTATTGATACACATTTTTTTTATATAATCATGTCAGTGATTAAACATAAAATATTTTTACCCGTTATCGTCATCCGAAGATTCGCAATAGATTCCCATCAAATTCGTGACAACGTGCCCCGAGGGCATTTTTTTACTTCAAACAGCCTCATGGCCCACATGTTTGAGATATTCATAAGGTTAGGTATTGCACGCGGTAGGTAAAATTACATACTTTAAGATAATATAAAGGTCTATTCTAAAAAAACATAAGCTTCATGTCCAGTACGTTGAATATTAGACAATAAAATTTTACTTACGGTCGCAAAAAACTTTCAAGTTGATTTTACGTCAACACGGCTGGAGCAATCTCAACACTGTAAACACACCAAAGATGGGCATACACTAACACGTTTTGGGAATGACGGGTACTGCTCTCTGGTTATTAGTTTTTTAAATAAAGCCGATGTGACAACGTGCCCCGGTCTACTCTATATATATATATATATATTTCTTTTTATTTAATATACACGACATTATTATTTATTGCTTCTCAGTGGGGCGATTTATTGAACATAGGTAAGAAGGAATCAGAGGATAAATTATTATCTGTGTTAAAGACGATTGGGGCAAACGAATGTTGCGTTTTAGTGTACACGGTACGTTGAATTTGATTTAATGAATCATAATTCATTAAATCGCGACTGCCATGATATTTAATGTATATTTTCTTAATTTGTAATATCATCTTTACAGTCAGGAACAGTCGGAAATCCAAAAGCTGTAATGTTAAGCCATGATAATATATTGTACGATTTACGGATAATAATAATGGCATTACAAGTGAGAGAAAAGTCAGAAATTATAGTTAGCTATTTGCCATTATCTCACGTTGCAGCACAGGTGAGATTTTTCGAATAATGCATTTCATGTATCTGTACTTTAGAGATAAAAAAATCGTATTTCCATTATTATAAATTCAGAGAAAACAAGGTTTAAAGTTTTAAATAGGGAAATGATATATATATTTTTTAATTTGAAACAAAAGTAGCGCCTCGATTTATTAATGCTGCGTTCGGGAAGCGCGCTATTAGCGCTATTGCATCATTCTATCTTTATCGCTCATCAGGTGTAAAACAAGGATAAAATAAGCAAATAGCACTAATAGCGTCTTCCCGAACGCACCCTAAGTCTTAAAGTAACTTAACTGACATGTATAACAGCACAACTGCCAATAACACGCTGTACCTGGTTTAAAAATTAGGCAATATAAAAATTTTCAATATGACTTTTTCTAAATATTGTATCTCAGGAATTAGTAATAATAGACTTGAGACGCTTTATCATCATACAATTTAAACTCCTGTTATATTGAAAAATGTATTAATTCCATTTTGACAAAAACTGGAGATACGATTCTTTACCTCTAAAGTACAGATATGTACCTCAATTAAAAATATTTTAATGACATTACAATTAATGCCAATGTGCACGTATATAAATTGCATCTAAATATTTTTTACAATAATTGAAAAAATTAATCTATAATAGTTTTTATTAATTTTAGCTAATTGATATCATGGCAAACATTACGTTAGCGACCACAGTATACTTTGCGGATCCGGGTGCGTTAAAGGGTACATTAATGAATACATTACTTGTAGCGCAACCGACTATTTTCTTAGGGGTGCCCAGAGTGTGGGAAAAGATATACGAGAAGATGCAAGAGAAAGCGCGCAGTAACGGCGCAATAAAAACCTGGATTGCTAAATGGGCAAAAGCGCAAGGTCTTCATTATTACACGAATAAAATGAATGGCGTAGATTATAAACATTGGGGCTATGTCTTTGCGAAATGGCTTGTTTTCGACAAAGTGAAGGCAGCATTGGGTTTGAATAGATGTCGATTATTCGTTACCGCAGCAGCTCCCATAAATGTTGACATTAAACGATATTTCCTGAGCTTAGACATCCCTCTATTAGAGGCGTATGGAATGTCTGAGTGTGGCGGGGCTCATACAATAATCAGTCCTAAAGAATATAGGTAAATTATATCTTTATGTTTTTATTCTTTGTATTGAATTTACAGTAAAGATATTTACTTTTAAAATATGTTGTTTATAATAAATAAATGTTATTGTCATTCTCATTTGTTAGCATGGAAGGTGTAGGAAGGCCTTTAACTGGAGTGTATACAAAATTAGACAATATAGATGAACATGGTGAGGGAGAAGTTTGTATGGGTGGACGACATGTATTCATGGGTTACTTAAATGAGCCGGAGAAAACCGTAGAAGCTAAAGATAAAAACGGCTGGTTACATAGCGGTGATCTCGGCAAATTCAATTCGAACGGGATTTTGTCTATAACTGGTAAACATTTATTTTATGCCTATTAACAATCGTCATTATGTGACGATACTTGTAAAAAATAATCACGTGTGTGTTATGTCAGCGAATATGATATTATATTTTTTACGTGTTCGCAGGTAGAATAAAAGAACTTATAATCACAAGTGGAGGGGAAAATGTAGCACCATACAATATAGAGCAGACGATATTAATGGAATTACCGTATTTAAGTAACGTCATGGTGATCGGAGATAAAAGGAAATATTTAACGGTCCTTGTCACGCTTAAGGTACATTGTGAAAGGACAAGAATACAGATGCAAATTTAAATTTCTAAATATCCATTTTTTTCCAGAGTAATATGAATGAAGAGACTGGTGAGCCGTTAGATACGCTGAATTCCGAAGTGTTAAAATGGGCGAAGTCTCTTGGTAGCAGTGCCAAAACAGTTACAGAAGTCATAAGCTCTCGTGATTCAGCCGTAAGTCAGATATATTAAAAGAATTATTTTAAATTGTGTAAATAGTAATTATTTTGCATTGTTTGGTCCGGATCTTTAAATACTACAAAATGCTATACATATGTCACAAAATGTTTTCTTGTTTTTTTAGATATACGAGGAAATCGAGGAGGCAATCAAGAGAGCAAATACGCAAGCTATAAGTAATGCTCAAAAAGTACAGAAATTCGAAATTCTTCCTCATGACTTTTCGATTCCCACCGGTGAATTAGGACCCACGTTAAAGCTCAAAAAGAACGTAGTTGAGAAGATGTATGCTGATTTGATAGATAAGATGTATGAATGAGACTATCGTGTATTGCTGTCATGCGATAAGGGGCGCGCATTGTTGTAGAATTTTTATACCAGTTTTATATTAATGCCATTGAAAAAAAAATCTGATTGAATTAATTGGACGTCTAGTGGAAAATGAACGAACCAAATTCTTCCAATTAATGCAACTAGAATTCTAATTATGCAACCAGAATTGTTATTAATTCAACCAGATTCTGGTAGATTTAACCAGTATTTTCTGGTGGAAAATGAACGAACAGATTTTTTTCAGTGTGTCCGTGGACATGCCAAACATCTAATATTATATAAGCAAGATGTATTTGTAATATTCAGGTATGGGTAAAGTTCAGAAAATGAACTATACTCCGTCTAACGAGAGATCATGGTTCGTTCTGCGCATAGGCGAGCAAAGTGGGGTACCTAGAGCGTGGCGTACCGTATACGTAAATAGATGTTCTGTGGGTGGAGACCTGCGCGAAACGGACGAGTTTTCGTCCGATCCAACCATCTCTCGTTGGACGGAGTATACATTGAATCTATAGGTCCACAGTAAGAGTTTCTTACTGTGGATCTTGGATAAATCTTACTTATATACAATAGATATATTATAATATATATATATATATATAGGTATTTTTGAAATGTATATGAGGGAATAACATTTTGTATCAGGGCACACAATAATCGCAACATACATATGTACAATAATTAAGTTAGTAATTCATACATTTTATTGTTATTATCAATATACTTCAAATTTGTAATTATATTTAAATAAAATATCACAAAGATTATATCTTTTTCTTAAATGTTACAAAGAACATATACTTAAAAAATCATAACGTCATTGAAAATCTGTATTTCATGATACACACACATGCGCGCACGCGCGCGATATTCACAAGAAAAAGACATAATCTATGTGATATTTGATGTACTTATATATAATTACATAATAGAAATATATAGAATATGTTGATAAAAATTCAGCAGTGTCTAAAAACAAAATTATATTTTCTACCTACCAAGGTAAAATCCTTTTTGCATAATAAAAATATTTTTCCCAATTTGTATTAAACTTTTAAATTTTGATATTAATTAAAATAAAAAATATTTAATAAATTTGTTAGTTATACAACATCATTGTAATAAGAAATGATGTAATCTTTGTAATGGGAAGGTAAGAATAAATAAAAAAAAAAAACAGAAAAGATTTTATAATTGCAATATATTACTAAATGTAGTTTACAATAAGCAAAACTGTAGTTACGTTTAAAATTATGTTCATACTACAGATTTTTACAGTAAATACGGTTTCTCATAAGAAAATAGTCTTACTAAAAGCGCATCACAGCAGCTTTGGAAATGCAGATCTGTATATCTTCTTATTCTCAATCTTATCATGCACAAGTGGATTATACTCAAATTATATATCACCAAGATAAGTTTTCCTGTTATTAGATATTTATTATTATTCATTTACTTATCTCACATTCTCAATATAAATTTTTGCATATATATGTGCACCTAAAATGTATATTTATTGCTGGCTAACAATACAACCTGAATACTAGTGCAACTTTTTTTATCTTTAATTCTTTACTGCAAATCAGAATAGAATTAATTTCCAAAATAAGAATATCTGAATGGCAGGCAATTAAGAAGAATGTGATGCTTAATTATTACTTTCATATGTTATAAAACTTATGTAGCATTGTGGCACATACGTATAGAACACTATTTATAACAATATTACTGATGCTGTTTTGAGAATGAATAGCTAAAAAATTAGTTGGTTTCCTACAAATACAGAAGAATTTTATGGTACTGTAAAATGTTTCGTGGAAGATCCTCAAAATGTTTTCAAACATAAAATTATATATGTATAAGCCACCAATCAATCATGATCGTACCATGTTACTTCGACATCCAAACATAAGACTAATTAATAAAATATATTTTGAGAAGTAGTAGAATAACCAGATAGATCTTATGATGTTGTTGTCGATGTATTAAATTTTTGTTGGATAATAGATGTTTTTCGCTGTGGTACTGTTTCTGGTGTCGGTATAGCATCTCCCGTTGGCAGAACACCAGCTGGCTTTGGCTTAGCTGTAGACTTTTGTTTTGCCATTTGATAATCCCCAGAATCAAAATATTTTTGCTGAAAACATCGAAATATTGTTAACTGTTTCAAGAAACTAAGATTTAAAAAAAAGAAATACACAGCTGTCTTTACAGAACTCTGTACAATCAAAAATTGACATTTACCCCTTTGGCTAGCCTTTTCTGCAGAAACGCGGAATGACCGCCGAATGGTCGACCAGCTGCATTTGGAAATTTTGCTTTCAACTTTGCTTCCTCCATTTTTTCTATGTCACTCGACGACAGCTATAACAAAATCTTCTGTGAAGATCTGTTTATATACACATAACACTATGTCGGCGTATATACAAACAGTTTCATGCAAATAAAATTTTTATAAAATATTCTTTCTACTTATGAATTTTCAAAGTCTCTTCTATTAAAATTCACATAAATATATGTCACATATCTGTTCTATTGTCACACAAACATTTAGGCTTAGAATTTATTGTAAGAATAAGCTACAAATAGATGTAATCTTCAAATGTTTGTGTACAGCAATGCAGTGCCAGATAGAATGCTATTTCAGCACAATTAACAAATTATAAATTAAACAATATCACAATTTTCCAATGACAAAACAAAATATTGTTGCTCTCTGTGATGATGTCCCGATAACTCATCGAAAGGATTTTCGCCGTTTCTTAACGCGCTCGTTTTGTACGTAATTAATATAAATACATAATTAATTAATTAATTCTACAACTTGGATCATCGTCTCAATCGTCCGACTGTTAATCTAGCGACTTACCTCCGCAGGTGGGCTCTGCTCGTTCGTCTGATCGTCGCTCATCTTCGCAGGTTTTTCAAACGCCTCTCGTCGTAGCGACCGTTCGCCTCCCGACTGGTTATCCTCTGTATACTAATTTCGACACTGACGCATATAACATACATAAGCTAAGTGAGCGGCGCAATAACGTGCAGCGTCCAGCGTCTCTCAATCGTGCCCTTCGCCGCAGGCGAGCCGTGGCCTGGATAGACGGCGTGCACCGGTGGAGAGACCGACAATTGTCAACTCAACGAGAGAGTTGTTTTCATACGCGTACAGACGGCGAGAACAGCGACGGCGTCACATGCGGAGCCATATGTTCCCGGGTGACCGTTACGTTACCGACGTCCGCACGGCGGGTTTTCATTGCGCGATTCGATCCGATTGCCATTGGACGAAATTCAACTGGCAGAAATCGTTTCGAGTTTCGAATAGGGTCGCTCTAAGGCCCGGTCTACAATGGATGTCGGAAGTCGGAGTCGTAAGAAATTAACCAATCACAATCTATTATTCTCCTTGCGGTCGAAGAATAATGAACTGTGATTGGTCAATTTCTTACGACTCCGACTTCCGACATCCATTGTAGACCGGGCATAATCAGGACCCCTATTCTGTAACTCGTAACGACAGTGTCGGTATCGTTACGTTGTCGTTGCGCAGGTATACTATATGGAAAAAAAGCTGCGCAATGACGACATAACGATACCGACACTGTCGTTAGAGTTACAGAATAGGGGTCCAGGGGGTCAATCATGTATTATTCACTCCATTTGCGTTGCTTGCACTTTTTGCACTCAGCATCTTTTTTAAAGCAGTGGTATAATGTACATACATACATACAATATTTATATGAATTAAAGGACTATAGGATTCCAATGTAAATAACCCAAGTAATATATACGTAAAGCAATGACAACGCAGAGGCACTAGCTAACAATTACATTTACAATATTTAACGATTATGTTACACATTATATTGAGATGAAATAAAACACAAACTAACTCTACATTATGAGCTTATATTTATATTTATATATTTATATTACATAAAAATTGTGTACGAAACGAGGTGACATACAAAAGTGAACAGATTTACCATAGATTTCGACAAATAAAATCGTAGGTACTCTAGTGAATTTTCTCACTTTTGTAATTTTCACCTCAATTCAAGATACCTGTTTTTTATTGGTGCATTGCTGAATTAGTGCACAGTGCACACTGGTGCAGCAAGTAGAGTGAAAAATATACTTGTCCCACTCTAACTTATTGCGCTAGTTCAGTATGCAGCAATTCGCGGTATTCGCAAGAACAGACTTATGCTAAGACTCCATAGACGCGGAAACGCCATGCGGCAGAGTGCGTTGACCAATCACAAATTTTGATTTTGCCGCAGGCGACTTGCGGCAGCCTTCTGATTGGTCAACGCACTCTACCGCACGGCGTTTCCGCGTCTATGGAGTCTTAGCATTAACGACGCGCCCGCAATCCGCAACAGCTGCCACGCGAGTTTGGCCACGGGCCACGAGTGGCGTGGAGTTTTTCTTATCTTTAGACTTTAGATCCTTGCAAATTCGCGACAACGGCGCGCCAGCTGATCTTTGACTCCCGGCTCAATTCAGTCCATGTCCATTCTCCATTCCGCTTGATTCCGCTGCTACGTTCAAAGTGGACAGTGGCCGAGTGGCGTGTGACGACTGATGGTCAATGGACGTAACCTGTCGCACGTTCACATGGTACTTGCAGCGAGACAGCACGACGACGGTCCTGAAGCATCCCGGGTTAATCACGGAGAGAGCGGCACGCCATGAACGCGTTAATTCACACGAAAACGATGATCGCCGGTCGCGGTGGAGTCATTGCTCGACGTACGTGTCACCGTACGCATTACTTCATGTCCCATTATAGATTAGCGCGATTTTGTGCGATAACTTGCAATACTTGTCTCTCCGCGCGCCCGCCGCACGGAGGTAATTCCCTCCGTTACATTTATGTAATGGCACGGCAGATAATACACGCGTGAAATTAATAATTCTTCGTTCAACCTTTCCTCAAATTCCTTCGTCCAATATTTCATTACGATATAAGTCACGTTTAAATTTAAAGAAAAGTCATGGAATAATCATAGGTTATGTTGAATTACTCCAATTTTTTTATAATCTATATATATATATATATATATATAATTTATGTTAATCGTAGAGCGTATCATCTCTTCCGTTGGTCTCTATCTTTCGATTATTTGCGAATTTATTGTCAATGGGATATTTAATAACTATTTTAATTCTAATTTAATTCTAGTTTTCTTTTTATTTTAATTCTAATTTAATTATTTTAACTATTTTAATTATTTTTTTAATTATTAATGGAAAAAGCAGAATAACGGTTATTGTTGTTAAAAGTGACTTTTAATTTACAATTTTACTTTGTACTTTGTAATTAATAAATAATTAGAAATTTTTAATCTCGTTTTTCAGGGTACTCCCCGTTTAAATTATTGTACAGTGCTAATCATACGATGGGTGGCATAGCTCTAATTTATACAGACTTGAGAGAGCCAAGAAGATTATTGCTGGAGCCTACACTGCCACCAATGTACATTAATGATAAAAACGTAACATGTCTACAAATTCGTACTTTTTATGTTACTCCAAGTTGGAATGGTCAAGAGCCATCATCTAAGATCGAAGAAACGGTGAAGAACATTAAAGAGGAGAAAGAACTTAAAGATAAGAGGGTAGACGGTGTTGTAAAAACTAACGAACAAGAGAAGAAAGCTGTCGCTAAAGTTACCATATGGCAAAAAATTAAGGGCGAAATATTGCATTATTATCATGGATTTCGGTTACTGGGGCTCGATATGAAAGTGTCGGCAAAGTTAATATGGAGAATTTTACATGGGAAAGAGCTTAGCAGGAGGGAGCATCGTTTGGTATGTTAAGTGCACTCACATTGTAACACATCATATTAAAATACTAATCAATCATTTATTCTAACAGCTGATAAAAACGACTGGGGATATGTTCAGGTTGATTCCGTTCTCTGTTTTTATCATCGTTCCATTTATGGAATTTTTATTGCCAGTGGCAATTAAGTTATTCCCTGGCATGCTACCTTCTACCTTTCAAACAGCAACCGAGAAGGAAGATAAACTTAAACAAGCCTTGAAGGTACAATATTGGATTTAAATTCATTATAAAATATATAGAATTTTAGAAAAGTATTACATACATGAACGTAATTTGATAAATGTTTAGAAATTTCATACAAGGCAAATAAGTAGTGTATTTCGATAAGAGCTTAACTAAGTATTATTTTAATAAATATCTTTTGTAAATAGGTCAAAATAGAGATGGCAAAGTTTTTACAAAAAACATTAGATGAAATGTCGTTGCAATCATCAGATCACAAGTCTGAGAAAGCTAAAGAATTTGCAGAATTTTTCTACAAAGTACGGACCACTGGCACTATTGCGACCAACGAAGAAATCATGAAATTTAGCAAAGTTTTCGAGGATGAAATTACTCTAGATTCCCTCTCACGGCCACAATTAATTGCTTTATGCCGTGTATTAGATGTGCAAACACTTGGAACTACCAATTTCTTACGGTTTCTACTAAGGATGAGACTCAGAAGTCTTACTGCAGATGACAAAGTACGAAGTGCATTCAACGAAGAGTGTTCTCAATCTTCTTTCAAAATTCTTTTTTTTCTAAACTTCCTATTAAAATATTAAATTCTTTTTTTTCGTTTTTAATACAGTTAATTGAGAAGGAAGGAGTCGATACCCTAACCAGAACCGAACTGCAACAAGCTTGCAGAGCACGTGCTATGCGTGCTTATGGATTGCCAGAGAACAGATTGAGGGAACAACTGTCACAGTGGCTGGATCTAAGTTTAATTAAAAAGGTTCCACCCTCTTTGTTACTATTATCACGAGCGCTTATGATACCTGAGACGATGCCTATGTCCGACAAGCTAAAGGCGACTATTTCGGCCTTGCCTGATGCAGTTGTGGCACGTACAAAGGGTGCCATTGGAGAGAAAGAGGGTAAAGTGGACCATAGAACTAATATCGAGATTATAAAAATGGAAGAACGCAAGATCGAAGAAGAGAGAAAGGAAAAGAAAGACGCTGAACCACAGCCAGCTATTCTGGAATGCGATACTAAAGCGGATGAAATTACTACCACAGATGTCAAAGTTTTGGAACAAGCTCTGGATTCAATTGGCAAGGTGAATAAATGACATTTAAAATACACATGCAAGTAATTCTTTAATATTTGCAAAATTTTCAATTTTATATGATTTTTTTAGGATAATAAAAATATGGCTGTCGAAAAAGAGGAAATCAAGGAACTTAAAGAAGAAATGGCAGAATATCAAGAAGATATTAAGGAATTAGATCAAATTAAGGCAGAGACAAAGGGTGAAGCAGATATAGAAAATATCAAAGTATCGAAAGGTGCTAATAGACTATTTAAAAAGGTAAACAAAATGATCTCGAAAATGGATGCGGTTTTGTTGGAGCTTGAACAATCTGAGAAAAAAGTTAAACAAAGAATCGAGTTGTTGGATCCTAATGAGAAACGAGATGTCAAAGATGTTGAAGAATTAGTTAAAATAGACGAGCTGGTTGCAGCCATTAAACAAATCCAAAGTGTACCCGATGACCATCGCTTAAAACGCATAACAGAAATTTTAGGGAAAATTGATGACGATCATGATGGTGCAATAAAAATAGAAGATGTCTTAAAGGTATACAGACAGACTATACATTTTTATTAATTACAATAAGGGCCCGGACACACACTTCTGCACAACGTATAATGCGTAAGCATAAGAAAATTGATTGGTCCATACACATGTGCATAAGGAAATAGACCAATCAATTTTCTTATGCTTACGCATTATGCGTTGTGCAGAAGTGTGTGCTCCCCGCTTAAGCATGCAATATATGGAGGGGTGAAAGTCATAGTAATGTAAGTCAAATTTTTTAAAATATTGACTTGTGTAAATAGATGCAATTTATATATTGTATAGATTGCATCTATACATACGAGTCAATATCTTAAAAAATTTGACTTACACCACTATGGCTTTTATCCCTACATATATAATATATAAAAGCATGATTACACAACTCTGTACCTATTTATTAATATAATATTATTTGTATTAATTATTTAATATAATTTTTACAGGTTGTAGAATTAATAGGTAAGGAAGATGTTAAATTAAGTAAAAATCAAGTGGACGAATTGATAGAATTAATGGATAAAGAAGAAATACTAGAAGTAGAGGAACAAATACAAAAATTGGTGGAAAAGGATTCCAAGATATCCCCACAGACAGAAGAGAATATAAAAGTGAATAAGAAGAGAATATAAAAGATGTAAATTTCCTGTAAAATTCGTAATTTATTGCATATCCCGGCAGGGTTCGCAATCTACTACCAATACTATCCTTCTCCTCTCACTTTAACCCTTTGGACCAACGGTTTAACGTCTTTTTCCGAAAGACGGAGCCCAGTTTTCTCCGCACAAGAGCCTATCTTGCACGGAGGGGCGCAGCTATCGGAAAAAACATTTCCATGCTTCATGGCTCTAGTGGACTCGAATCTGGTTCATATTACGAGTCTGGCGCTCTACCACTAGACCACACTGCCGCCCTTAAAGATGTTAAACCTTACAAAGGAAACGAACGAAATATAGTTAGCCTAAACATTGACAACAAATTACAGATATTAAAAAATGTTTTCTATTGTAATACAGTTTAATTTTAGTAAGCCCAAGGGATAAATCATTCCAACTGTCTCAATACCGTTGTTGTACATTTGTTGATACATTGAGCATATACTCATTATCCGAAATAATAGTCTCAAATTGTATTTTCCTGTAACTCCAACATTGATGTTACAAAATAATCGATTGTTCAATATGTGAAGCAAGATAATGTACAGCAATTTATAATTATTTTTATTTGTGAAAAACAGGGAAGCAGAAACCTATTTATTTAATGTAAAAATAGAATACTGTTTGTGCTTTGTACTATATAAAGCGTTAAATTGGCAAAAGAAATTTTGTTGACAAGGGCTGTATTCCAATATTCACTGTCAGTACTGCAAATCTATATTTTACGTCACGTATACTGTAGATTTTCAGTACTGAAAGTTGCTGACAGTGAATATCGGAATGCAGCCAAAGTAATTCTATGTGACAAGATGTTATATCGATTTTGGGGCTCTATATGTACATATATAAAGAAAAGGGAAATATTTATTGCATTATAGACGAAGATCATCTAAGATGTATTATAAAGATATGAATTCAGAAACAACATTCAGAGTGATCCACTTCTTTACTTATACGCATGAAAGTCTAAACGTATATGTAAGAACATGTATAATTTTTTTAAATTTTTATAGGATGCTCTTTCAAAAGAAATAAAATTATGAAATTAAGTGTTCTAAGAAATATGGGGTTTTTATTAAATTTTATATTGCTGCGTTGTTTTATTTTGTTTGTTCTATTTTCTTGCGTTTTGTTGCCTTTTTGCATTTGCTGCAGAAGTAATTAATTTTGAAAAAAAGATAGTTTAGAATTTTAATATATAAATCCAATTTAATTATACAAATAATATAAATAAATATTATTTATTATAATTTTTATTATGATTACGATTTTAATTATAATTAAATATTATATAATATCATATTGCTATAAAAAACATTTTATAGTTATGTCATTTTACACATATCATCATAAAACAAAAGAAAGTATTTATAAAAAAATATAACAGTTGGTAATAAATATTTTTAGAGATATAGATTTAAGAGATACACGTGTAAATTAATATATTACATGACAATTTAAATTGCATTTAATTATTTCATCATAAATAAAATGTTATTTTTATACTAATACATATACAATAGACGTGTTATACATATAACGATCAATTAATCATCAAATATATTGATCAGCTGTACAATTCTTTGTTCATATTTATTGACATTTTTGCCAAACAACTAAATAATATATTTTACAATGCTATATTGCAAGGAAAATTATTACGTTTAAATTTCCTTAATAGCATTTTGATGGCTGCAATGAAGTAATCAATTTTGACAAAAACTATTTTATGATATAAACATTTATTTTCCATAGATTTCCATTTTTCAATAGATAAAATATTGATAATATAAACTAATGAATTAACTTTTATCGTACATAAAAATAAAGTTTTTATCAATCTTTTAGTTACATATGTATTTGTTGTTGGCCAATATTAATATAAGTGGTTCACTTAAATCATTTCATCATTAAATTATGAAAATAAATCATTTAAAAATCATTATTTATTATCAAAATGATATAAAAGATATTTAATATATTGTGCGTTTTAATGTTAGGATTTAAATGTATCCTCTACTTGGAATTGGTCAATAACAAAATTGTTTGGATATAAGTGAATGGATAAATAACAGAGTTCAATAATGAATCACATCGATATTACATAAAAGGCATTTAATTTATGACAAAATAGCAGATTAAACATAGAATTGCAAAGATAGATATAGTGGTGTAGATAATGTGTAGTATATATATATCTGAATATCTGAATCTAAATGCTGTCATAAAACTCCTCTAAAAAATCTTAAAGTTTGATTGACCTCGTTACATTAACAGTGAACACTTAAAAGGCACAATCAATGTCAACAGTACAAAAGTATCAAAATTAAATAGACAGATATTTCTTTTCTTTCATAAAAAAACTACTATTACATACGCATTTTGTGAACTTTAATGATCATTCTGTAATACAATTCTCCAGTCACTTTTCTCTTCGGTCAAAGCTGTATTAAAATTGATTATTTTATATATCTGCATAAATGCACCTCATAGAGGTAGAAGTTTTTAAACAAGTGACGTAATTAATTATACAATCAGTCTCTAATTACACAGTCTACCATGTTAAACATAAAAATTTATTTTATTTTTATATCATGGCTTGATATTTCAGATGTGCGAGTAATGGCGAGTAGTGTTAAATGCTACTGCAAAATAAGTCACTGATCATTTTTACTACAAAAAGTTCGAAATAATAAATCAATCTTTTTTCATTAACTTCTATCTTGGTTTTATGCTGTGACTTATGCTAGGATTTATACTTAAAACCAAAATTTTTATTTTGTTTGCACGCAAAATGCGATGTTTTTGCGTAACAAAATCTAATATATAACGTGTACAACAAAGAGAAATAATTATTAATGTGTATTACAACTGTTATAAAATTCACTCACACGTTCGAGATATCAAACTGTTATACTATAAAATGCTGTGATAAAAATAACTATATAAAATAAAACATAGCGATATATTAAAACTATGTAAAACATATATATGTATATATAAACAAATTGCTCACAAATTACAAGTTTTCGTTACTTTACAGTGTTATGACTACTTTGGTACATCTGTTTATTCGTCATATCAATATTCAAAATATGTAAAAGAACATTGAATCTTATTTGTACATTTCTATAATTTTTAGTAATTTTTAAAGAGTGCTGAAAGCATTCATTAAAGGTTATAAATAAATAATGCAAAAGACAACTAAGAATGCAATTATTTTATTTCAACATGAATGTAATTACATTATTTGCACAATTGGAAAAACAAAACAAATAATCTTTATAAAATATGTATCGTTGATGTTTTCAGTCTCCCCAAATGTATTAACACAATTTATGTTTCAGCACTCTAAAGACGAGTAATTTTGCAAGTAATCTTGCATGCGTTTTCATTATTTTGTGCTATTATAAATATTATAAATTTTGATTAACTCAAATTGTATATGAATATTTTACATATTACATACATGAATATATTACATAATAATATAAACTAGAGAGAGTAATAAAAAGTATTGCTATTAAAATTTCTTTTAATAATTTCATAGAAAACAGGTATAATATGTGACGGAATATACATCAGTTAATATTTAATATATATAAATATATTAGAATAAATTGTATATATATATATATATATATATTGTAGTGAACAGCAAAAATTAAAAGCGTCAATTCACTGTAAAGTGTCAGAAAACTTTCATTTTTATATAAATACAGTTCTCTTACGCTTAGCTTTCAATTATAGGAGTTGAACCTTCCATAACATAAGCTACACATTGTTTTATATTTGTTATAGCAAGATGCAGCACTTTGTTTCCTTATTACGTTCACTCCCATCTCCTTGGTTTTCCTGTGCCTTACGAGCAGCTATTGCTCTCATTAAATCAAAGAACACCTGCAACGTGGATTAAATATGTTTTTATTATTTATTCCACTTTCTAAACTAATTTTTTAAACTTGCATATTGATTAAAAATTAAAATATTACTATTAATTAATTAAACATTAATATGAGAAAAGAATGAAAATAATATAATATTACTATCAAATTAATATGCAAATAATATTATTTATAAAAGTTTGCTCATCATATAAAGTAATCTTTATCTTCTCCTGTTAAAACATTTTTTGTTTTATTCATAACATTAGGTTCATTCATATTTCTTTATTTCCAATATTTCATTGAAGTACACTGGCGGACGTTTCGTTTCCTGAGGTAAGGAGGGAACATAGAGGTGCCATTGTTATACTCCTATGTTCCCTCCTTACCTCTGGAAACAAATCGTTGTGTCCAGTATATGAATTATATTTATAAAACCTGTTATTTTAAAAACTGTAAAAATATTAAAAATAAAGTTATGCAATCAAACTAAGAGAATATAATTTATGTAATCAAAAGAGAATCTTTTTTTATTGCAAGCCACAGTAATATCTTTCAATTAGGAGTAAAATGTTTAATGTTAATTCTCTTTTTTTATAACTACTGATTATTTATAATACAAAAAATATAACTAACTTGTGTGATATGTAACACAGAACATTGACACGTTTATTTAAAACAAAAAAAAAAGATAAAAAGAAAAAAGCATACATGCTTTGCGTAAGCTGTGATAAGCTTTACAGATAAGTGTATCGTTTCATATTTATTTGGCAAATATTTGTAAACTCATTAAATGAATAAAATTTAAATATCTCAAATATCAATAAATGTAAAGAATAATTAAAATATAGATATGCAATAAAACATATCTTTCTTTCAAATAATTAACATCTATTAATATTTTCTAAAAGATGATCATGTAATACAATTTTAACCATATATTTTTATTGCACATCTGCATCATTGTGATCACTATTGAGTATCAGAAATTGCATTAGTAAAATACACTCTATTGACATTCCCTATATATTTCACACTGATATAAATTAAAATTGCCAAGACAGAAAATGCACAGTTCTATCATCTTCTCAAAACATAAAATAAAATATGGTGCAAGAAAAAAAACAGCAAACCTATAGAATAATGCACTTCTTTTTCTTCCTCTTGGTACGGTCTTTACCTCGACCATTGCTTGCTGACTTATCTTCAATTTTACGTGACCTTATTTCACGCATCAAGTCGAAAAATACCTGCAAATGTGCAATGGATGCTGTCTCAAAGCTTTAAGGCATATAAAATGTGCGTTACAAAATAAACGTTATATTTTTCATATTTTTAAGAGAAGAAAACGAGAATTGTGCGCATATATAAGCAATAGCACAATACATAGTGATATAACAATATATATATATAAATGGACATAAACTGCAGAATTAAGCTTATTTAAAAATGCATATTTCGTGCAATCAATTCATTATGCGTCACATTACATTGAGGGTGAAAGTAAAAGCAACAAGAAATATATGTGAATACATCTACTATTTTCAATAACTACATTGGTATATATGTATATATGTTTGATGAATAAAGTGTTCTGCAGTGAAACATCTAATTTATATTACTACTAATAAATAAAGCCTAATAACAAAAAAGATCCCACAAATTCCTCATTTCACTAAAAACAAAATAGAGAAAAACTTAGAATGAAAAAGTAATATCAGTTACATTTTTTAATGAAGATAATATTAATATAAGAAAAAAAAACTATATATAAAACTATATATATATTTATTATATTTATTATAATTTTATATATGGCTTGTTAATAAAAATTAAATAAAAATTATACATAATCAGGATTTTACCTTGTCTACATTTTCTTTTGTTTTAGCGCTTGTCTCCACATAAGGAACACCCCATTGTTGGGATCTTGCTTGAGCTTCGGCTAGACTAACCTTCCTTTTTTCTTGCAAATCACTTTTATTTCCCACTAATAAAAATGGAATGTTCTCATCATTTTTTACCCTGAGAATTTGTTCTCTATAGAAAAGAAAACAGTTTTTTTCTATTCATATGGAATGATCAATAATATATTATGAAATTGTTATTTATTAAAATGTTCCAGTAACTTTGCGTCGCAAAAGAGTGCTTGATTTTTATCAAACTTTACTGACCTAAATTCCTGTGTAGCTTGGAAGCTGTCATCTTCTGTTATCGAAAATACACAAAGAAATCCTTCCCCACTACGAAAGTAATTGTCTCGAATCGCTGCATAATCCTCTTGTCCTGCAGTATCCAAGATATCTATTTGTACCTCTTCTCCGTCTAATACAACTTTTTTTCTGTAGGAATCCGCTTTTGTAGGTTCATAATCTTCAACAAACTGATTTTAACATCATGATTAAATTTATGAGAAATCAATATATTTCTAACGTAATAAGACTTAAAAATAAAACTGTCCTAAAGTACAGTGACTCACGAAACTGATCAAATCATATCACTGCTTGTTACGAATTTCTTTTAAAAATTCATAAACAAAGATGTCTGTAGCATAATCATAGATATTTATTTGCTCATATGTTATATTAAAAGTCGTTTTCGTCGATTACCTTTTTTAAATTTAATTAATTATAGATAATTGTTGTGTAGTACATTCAATCAGTTTCGTGAGTCACTGTATGATGTTTATCAGAAGAGTAGGTAAACAGAAATTTGAAGGATGAAAATTACATGTTTTTTGCTGAATTAACAAAAATAAGTAAGAGCGCTATTTATAATCAAAATCTTTTTTTATTTTTAAATTATGTTGTTTTTTATTTTACCTCGTCGTACATGAATTGTAACGTTAGAGCAGACTTTCCAACACCTCCACTTCCAACCATTATGACCTTATGCATTGCTTGAGTGGCTCCGGGCTTCCTCGACATTTTTTAGATAATTACCTTCAATTAAGATAAAGTGGTCACTAAATGCCGGCTATATCTTAAAAGTGTACAGTGATAGAATTTTACGTCTGCAATATTTAAGACTTTCCAAACATAGATGTACTTGTAACATTATTTATTCACATTATTTGCATTATTTTTATAAATCTTTTTTCAGGGATCAATATATATATCTGTACCTTAGTACCTCTGAGAATCCTATCTCCAGTTTTTGTCAAAATGGAGATAATACTTTTTCCAGTATACGAGGAGCTATAAATTGTATAATGATAAAACATCTTATGTCCATTATTACTAGTTCTTAAGATACAATGTTTAGAAAAAAAGTCATATTAACAATTTTTATAGTGCCTTAATTTTGATCAGGTACAGCCTGTCATTGGCAGTTGTACTATTAACTATTAAATACGTCAGTTAAATTTTACTTTATTAAAAACTCAATAAATCAAGTTGCTACTTTCATTTTATATCTAAAGAAATACACCCTTTTCCTATTTAAAACTTCAAACCCTGTTTTCTCTAAATTCATAATAATGGAGATATAATGGAGAGATTCTTTATATCTAAGGTACATATATCTATATTATATGTATATTCCCATTATATAATAACAATAAGTGAATAACAGGAAAAAAAATTATAACCGTACAACGCGCATATACACCTTTTGCACCTCTTCAAAATAGAAGTCTTTCTGATAGTTATCTTAATTAAAGCGGAGCAGAAATAACAATGGCAGGATGTGAGAATTATGTTGTCAGTGTGAGAAATCTAAGACTAGGATAAAGAGGGAATATAGTTTTATGCGTGTCTCTCAAGTAATAATATATTTTCCGAGATATTTTCTATACCACACAATATATGGCATATTCTTTATATTTAAAACAGACAATTTAGAATATTAGAATATTGTTAAAAATAGGAAACTTCTAGCATTTGTCTGTATCGGTGTCACGACTAAATATCCCGGACATAATATCCCGCGACAAAATATCCCGGTTTTATTATCCCTGCGATAAAACATCCCGCGACAATATATCCCATGACAAAATATCCCCTGGCAAAATATCCCATGGCAAAATATCCCCTGGCAAAATATCTCCTGACAAAATATCCCAAGAATGCAGAAATAACGGTTACATACATAGATACACATTAATTATTAAAGTACACAAATATAAATACACAAATAACGCAACAAAGTAACACATGATTTGTTCTCATGAACTGTGCGTGGATTGTATTGTGCGCGCCGTACCTGAGGCAGAGCGCCGAACGCCTCGATATCCCTATCCCGACATTCGGTTATAAACAATAATAATGAACGTGTACTGGTGAATATATGTCTGGATGTTACTTGCGATACGGTTGTCAGTCAGTTACATCTGTTAGGATTGTGCGGTCAGGTGTGCGATGTCTTTGAAATTTGTAAGTAGTCAGAAGGGGAAGCGACAATTAGTGCTTCATGGTTTTATTTATGGTGTGCATCGTGAAAATACTGATGCTTAGGATGCGTGGAAAGTCCACGCATGTACTTCGAACGCACACTATGTGTCTAGTTAAATAATAGTGGAGCCCCCTGCAGGGGGGCGGAACCCACTGCCTCCACGCATACACTTTTCACGCGTGGAAAGTTTTAAACCCATGTGGCACCTCGTTTCGCGTGAATTGGGATATTTTGTCATGAAATATTTTGCCAGGGGATATTTTGTTATGGGATATTTTACCAGGGGATATTTTGTCACGGGATATATTGTCGCGGGATGTTGTCGCAGGGATAATAAGACCGGGATATTTTGTTGCGGGATATTATGTACGAGATATTTAGTCGTGTAACCGTCTGTATCGTATACTTATAAAAATTATATACTTTGTCAATGTTCATCAATGAATAAATGATTCCAAATGTATTATATTCTGTTCCTATAGCATAAAACAATAACACGACATCAAAATAAGGAATTTAATGACAGTTTTTTAATATTACAGCAAATAATGTTGCACAGAAAAACATAATAGGTATTCCAGATACGCTGCTGTCAAAGTAGCGGTGTCAAACCAGAAAAAAAGAACAGGAAACTTTACTAATCAAATTAAATCGTACATACAACACCCACTGCTCAACACACATGTCATCTACTATTCGAGATTCGTCGAGATTCGATTTTCGCCCACGTGAAAAGAAGAGATCGAACGGGAAATAGAAGAGACGTGAGAAACGAAAGAGACGCACTTCGTGGACGTGCGCGACGTACGCTCTCACACTGTGGCCGCGCTTTAATTCGCTCGCTTCCTTTCTTATCTCAGCCGCGCTCCGATACGCGGAACAAACGTTTATAAATAATTTGCGACGAGACACGTAAGGGAAATAACGGCGGATCGCCTCGCCTCGCCGCGCCGCACCCGAGTCTCTGTTCCGTCGCGATTATCGAGCGGCACCGGCCTCGGGGCAAGACACCGCGGAGGTTGTCGTGGAGCGTAACATGAGTAACCGAGTAAGGCGGTGCCGCGCTACCGGAGGGACGGACGAGCGGATACCGCGAAAGCCGGACGGTTGTTCCGCGTCGGGAATACGTCGCGGCGACGTTTCGCGCGAAGCGAAATCGAAGCCAAGCCGCGCCGGGCCGCGCTCGTGCGTATCGCGCGATAACGAAAGAATGCTGCCCACTCGATAAATACCTCTGAAATATTCGCGCAAATTCGGGAGTGCCTCTGGCTCCGTGGACGTTCCGTGAATTCTTTCGCGGCCGTGTAACACTGTGACACACGCGTTGCGTTGGTTTACTTTCACGCAATTGGATAGTTGCGACGGTTAAGTACCGGTGGCGCCACCATCGCCGCTGATCTTCTCGTGAGCGCGAAGTGCGGGAAAAAGTAGATAGTCGGCATGAGGCAATAATAGTCACACGTCCGACGTCCGAGTCAAATAATAGGTAGTATTATTATTAACATATTATTACTGATATGTTCATTAGTCGAATACTTTTTGAATATAGTCTAGTGTAGATGAGCGCACCATTTCTAGGGGCGCATAATAGGCCAGTAAAATTAGCTCGAAAAACACCGAATATCTACAAAACGGATTGACAAGCCAATTTTTTGAGGGTGAGTAGAGGGTCGTAGGAGATGCCCAAATTCACAAAGTTCCAACAAAATTTCCCTGTGCGTCGGCGGCAATCTTGAAAATAGGGGAATATTTAAAGTTTGAATATCTCGGCTTCTATTGGTCAAATTTTGTTCTTTTTTTTTAGTTTTGTAGGGAAAAATATTTGCTACAACTTTTGTTCGAAAAAATTTTTAATAGCTGTCAAGGAAAAAAAGTTAAAACCAAAAAAGTGCCGTCAATTAGGGGTTGAACAATTTTATTGACACTTATATCGCCCCCTGTTAGTTTGATAAAAAAAAATGTTCCAATAAAACTTGTAGAGGATTCAATTCTCTACAATTTTCATATATATTTTTTTGCGGTGGCTCAAAAAACACTAGAGATAGAGAGCGCCAAAGTTGAGTGTATCTAGTAAATGCTCTTTTTCGTGGAGAAAATTCGCGGTTTTATTGTGAATTGTCGTATATTATAAAACTCTTTTCCGCGAACTGTACAGTGTGTTATTGTGTGTGTGTTGTTTGTGTGTATTATTGTGTATTATTTTCGGTTAGTCGTGATCTGTATTTCGAGCGTTTCAGAGTAAAATTTCTCGAAAATGAGCGAGTATTTTATTTGTATAAGTCCATATGCCAGGTCAATTGAGCATTTTTATCGAGGTTGATGGCTTAAGTTAATGTTTTTTTTATGTTTTTGGGGTCATAGAACAGGAATCTGTAAATAGTTGTTTCGTAAGTTGATGCAATAAAAAGTTATTAACAATTTATTTGTTTAAATTGCCCTAGCGATCAAACTATACATCCTATAAAAAAATGAACTAGAGAAAATTTGTTCCTCTTTTTACGACGAACAAAATGGTGTTTTAATTTTTCCAAAATCTTGATTATTGACGGAAATGTGTCAATTTTTATGTAATTACTGCCTACGCGTCACGGAGTACCCTAGGCGTGCGCGCTCGCGCTTAATTGTAATAAAAGGAGCAAAAAAGCAAATTAAATTAAAATTAAAGGAGCAAAACTCGTGTGGTACAATCGAGCGCGAGCGCGCACGCCTAGGGTACTTCGCGACGCATAAGCAGTAATTACCTAAAAATTGACACATTTCCGTCAATAATCAAGATTTTGGAAAAATTCAAACGCCATTTTGTTCGTCGTAAAAAGAGGAACAAATTTTCTTTAGTTCATTTTTTTATAGGATGTATATAGTTTGATCGCTAGGGCAATTTAAACAAATAAATTGTTAATAACTTTTTATTGCATTAACTTACGAAACAACTATTTACAGATTCCTGTTCTATGACCCCAAAAACATAAAAAAACATTAACTTAAGGAGGCTCTTACCTCGATCATAATATGACAGATCTTTATGAAATTAATATATGTTGTAAAGTGAACCACAACGGACCGATGCCCAAAACTTGAGCATAGGTTGACGATAAAAACTGTAAAAATATCAGTATTGAAATTCGCATTTTTAACACAGGGCATATGGTAAACACTAAAATTTTTACCGGAAGTGATGTATTTTCTTGGCAAGTTTGCGAGCCAGGTAAACAAAAAACTAAGGAATTGTAGTTAAAATAATAATCTTTCTAATGATAAGAAGAAAACTTGGTGTTGACGATTAGTTATAAAAGATATTGTAGTTTTAATATGACGTACGAGAGGTTAGGACGAATGATCTTCCGAGTGTCAAAATCGCGCGAAGTTTCTAACCTCACTTGCACATGTCTTTTCTCTGCGCTGTATGGTAGCGGCATAATTATTCTCTCGCGCATTGACAACCTTTATTTTAGCGAATTTTCCTTTCATTTTCCCTCTCAGCATTCTCACGTTATATCTATCTTTTGGCTCCATCTCTTCATCGCATCATTCGCTACAACGCTACACGGCTACATCTCACTTAGCTGCAGACTGCTACAGACGACGTTGTGACACGCGCATGTTCTGCTCTTTAGCACTGACGTAGTCAACTGACTTATTGTATAAATTTTAATATTTACACTAATAGAACATATAACTTACTCTTACACTATGTAAAAATCATTATTTATTTTTTTATTTAATTTTCCGATAATTTTATAACCAATTATTAATGATAATTTTTCGGTTGCTACATTGATTAGAGCAGCCGGGTAAGAGCCTCCTTAAGCCATCAACCTCGATAAAAATGCTCAATCGACCTGGCATATGGACTACCGACGAGCCCCATAACCTGCAACTACAGTGATTAGCCAGCGGCGTAGCCAAGTCTTCCCAACCTCACCTCGACCAAAAAATGTCTGCTCTATTACCGCATTTTCACTAAAATAAACTAAAAAAATAGCAGCGAAATCTCCGGTAAACTTATATATTTTATGGTTGCATCAGATTCTTCGAAATCTAATGTACAAAAAGCAATGTTTTTTCTCACTTCATCTAATCGAAAAATGCGAAAATATGTGATTGAAACCATGATAGAGCCTTCTTTTTCTGGTCGTCTGTATGAAGTAATGCAAAATTTGTGATTTTCGAGATCGATTTTCTAGAGTAAATAGTCGGTAAGGAGCCACAGAAAAAATCGACTGCAAAACTGATCATATAATTTGATATAAAATCCGAAATCGAAAACTTTATCTAATACATGCCCTGACGAAACAACTACCTTAAGGAAAATGTAGGAATATATAAAATAAAATAACATGTTCTGAAAAAATGCGTTCCTTTATTTATATAATTGTTTTAATATATCACTCCTCTACACTCTTACACTTTCTTTTGTATTATAAATTAGACATCACTATAACTTTAGAACGGTATTCGCGGTATTCAAGTCCAATCTTAAATTTTAATTATAGAAAGATTTACCTGAAGACGCTGCAAGGGCTATTTTATTACTACTAGACAATTTAGATATCACAAACGCGCGCGCTATTTAGCTTTAACATATTATACTATTACTATTATACTATTAACCCTTAATACATAAAACTCAAAATATACGATGACAGATGCTCACGAAGTCAAAGCAATGAGAGACCAATCAGTATCGCGGAAAAATGTTAACAATAAAATGGGTGCGTTCAGCCGATACTCCGCTAGCCTAGCGCACGTAAGCAGCGAGCGCTTTGCTACCATTTGCTACGGAAAAATTTGGCTGGACAGAAGCGCTTGCTTCTGCCCAGCCAAATTTTTCCGTAGCAAATGGTAGCAAAGCGCTCGCTGCTTACGTGCGCTAGGCTAGCGGAGTATCGGCTGAACGCACCCAATCTCTTATGCTAGAGGTTTGTTTGCGTCGCATGCCCCACCATACTCCTACTCACTCCAACGCACTCCAAAAACTTATCTGCTCCAATCGCCACCCTTTACCCGTGTCCAAGTGTCTCTGGTGTATATTGGAGTATGCGACGCGAACAAACCTTAGGTCTACAATGCGAGTCGTAAAGTCGTGAGTCGTAAGATTTGACCAATTACAGTCGATTATTCTCCTCAAATTCGATTGTGATTGGTCAATTCTTGCGACTCACATCTTTATGGCCGGTATTCATAATCAGATCTTATTTCAAGACCGTCTTAAGTAATATCTTAAGATGCTAATACGGCTCTGTGATTGGTTAATGACTTCTTAAGATCGTACTTAATGCTAGGTCTACAATGCGAGTCGTAAAGTCGTGAGTCGTACGAATTGACCAATCACAGTCGATTATTCTCCTCAAATTAGATTGTGATTGGTCAATTCTTACGACTCACGACTTTTATGACTCGCATTGTAGACCTAGCATAAGACGGTCTTAAATATAAGAACCGACTAGAATACTCAGAATACTGGCCTACGACTCGCATTGTAGACCTAGCATTATACGGCTTTTTTTAGCAGTAGATAGCATCTTATAATAAACTTAAGACGATTTTAAATATATGTATAAGATCGTGTCAGGAATATTGTTCTTGCAGTTTTCAATACAAGTAATGATCATTTCTGGTATACTTCCTCATTAATGGTTTTTCAATTCCTTATTCCGTATAATCTTCCTTTACTACTGTATTAGAAATTGTTCTTTTATCATCAGTTTATTATGTATTACATATTATTAATTTATGAATTGGTGTATTAAATTTACAAATTTTTTAATTTTGTTTGCGTACATTTTTGTCACGGACCTGACTAACCCTAGGCCCCCTGTTTTCGAATCGTGAATCCGGCACGGATAAAAATAACATAACCTGCAAAGTAATAACCTCCGTATGCGTATATTTCGTTGAAATTTTTCAGTGCAATTTTATGATGATTTAATGAGAGTAATTATTTCAGCGGTGGAAATTCAAATTTCTTTTCATCTGAGTACCGGTATCGTAATATGATATCGTCGAATACCGATGCTGAGAAAGAAATTGAAGATCCTGTCGAGCGGATGCTGAAGAAAACCGGTTGCATAGAATTGCACTATCAAGTTCAAGTACGTATATTTACAAACAATGACTATGTTTACACGGCCCGATTTACGCCGAAGTTATAACATCGATATTGTAAGTACTGACGTTAAATACCGTGTAAACGCTTTTTTACGACAAAGTTATTACATGATGTAATAACTTCGTCGTAAAAGAGCGTTTACATGATGTAATAACTTCGTCGTAAAAGAGCGTTTACACGCCATTTAACGTCAATATAGTTATAACGTCGATGTTATAACTTCGGCGTAAATCGGGCCGTGTAAATAACGTAGTATATATCGATTAATTTTAATTGAAGCTTAATTGATTTGATTATAATTTTAAAAGAATAATAAAAAACTAAGTTAACTTTATGTTTAACTTTACAAGTTAAACAAGTTGTAAGTCAATTGATTGTTGTAAAATAAATGGTCTCTGAATTATATTAGCGTTTCTAATTTTATCTAATTTTATCTAATTACTAATTGATTATATTTTCAGGAATGCATAGCCGAGCATCAAGATTGGAGAAAGTGTCAGAATGAAGTGAAAAAGTTTAAAGAGTGCATGGCTAAGCATACAGAGCAACAAAGATCAAGATGTCAGTAATAATTATTCGTTTGTAAAAGATTGTAAAAAAAGATGTGGTTGATAAGTAAATATATCAGATCCTTCTTATCTCCTGCTTGGAATGGAGAGAAATGTAAAATGGTTCTAGTGGTTCGGTCAGATTTAAGTATGGGAAAAGGTAAGACTGCTGCGCAGTGTGCTCACGCTGCTCTAGAATGCTGTCGTCAGATCATCAATAACGAAAAGAGAAAGCCAATGTTTGAGTATTGGTTACGAATTGGACAACCTAAAGTTGTTGTTCAAATATCAAGCGAAGAGAAACTATTAACCTTAGCAGATAAAGCTCAACGGGCTGGTTTAACTACCGCCATAATAAAGGATGCTGGTAGAACTCAGTTGCAGCCTGGTACAGTTACAGTTGTTGGTATAGGACCTGGCGCGAATGAAGTTATCGATAGCCTTACATCAAGATTAAGATTATTATAATTATATGTATTGTATATAAATTTATATGACTTAAAAGTAATATTTGTTATTAAAAAATCAAGTTTTTTCTTAAATATCAAAATACATCAGTCAATGCAGGATGAACAATTCCATAACAATATTTAAAAATAACATTATGAAAGGAGTTATTATAATTTTCTAATAAAGTTTTAGGAAAAAATTTGTCTTTGTATAAAATGAAAATTTCAAAATTATTAAAATAGATATCCTTTTAAGACAATACAAGTTCCTTAAATACTATATAGCACTATATCGTATATATAATACATATATTGTATAAAGAGAATATACAAAATAAAATTGATTATTAACTGAAATTTAAATTGCATTTCTTAATTAAATGTTATTGTTACTGAAGAGATCTATAAATGGTAGATGTACAAAAAAATGTCAAGTTAAGTATATAAAACAATTATTATTATCAAGTTGTATGATACATTATCTATTCTGGCAAAAAGATTAATTAAATATTTTTCCTCCATGGCTGGATCGTAATGACGTGATATAACAATTTTATTATACTAAAATATTTGCTATAATACTACTTCCCTCATTTATCTACAAAAAGCATCTCAAAACATGTTTGAAGACACGCATACTTTTGGAAATAAATTATATACATATATATTAGACATACTAAATTCACATAATAATTTGTATAACATGTCTAAATGTGCTCTTCAAAAAAGTATGCTTAAAATTATAAATATAACTCGAACATAGATAATAACCACAAAGAAATAAAAAATAAATTATATTAAATTGGTTTCACTTTATATATATATATTGAATGTTAGAAATATAAATTTATCATAAAAATTTTACCGATCCCATAACATGTACATATATATGCCGAGCATTAAAATATTCTCAAGAGAATATATACACACAATCATATCATAAGTTATTACAAGTTTGAGCAATAATAGTATGACAGGAAAACACGCTTACAGCTAGCGTAAACTCGCATATCAGATCGTGTTTCAATCTTCGTATATAAAGTATATTTATTTAACAATGTGCAACTAACATGTAAACTTACTTGAATAAAATCGGAAGAATGTTATATTGGTGCTCTTTCACTTTCTGTGTTTGTGTATGTGATCATTATTTATAATATATGTTGCCTAATAACAAACTGATGACAATTTAAGATTATATACTTTAAAAAATTGAATTTTTTATAAAATTAAGAACAAGAATAGATATGAAAATATTCTCCTGCAAAACATATCAAAAATACTATTTTTTTTTAATCAGCTTCTTTGCCCAATTTGTAAATATTCCCTTAGCGGCACTGTTAAAAGAGCTATCAATTAATGTATTCTTTTAACTTCGAACACTGTGTTTCTCTACTCAACTTTCAATTTCTTTAAAATTCGATTAAAATCAACATAAAAAAAAATTTATTTCTTTTTTTATCGCTAATTGCTCAAAAGCTATTGGCGTCTTGATATGAATTGATTAAAGAATCTATAGTTAAAAGAATGTCTGGTAATTTTGGAACATCGTATTTCTTGCTATAAGATTGCTATTAATAAATCAGTCACATACGTAACTTTTAAACCACTCTGCTTGAAACAAATTGTGTGTTACGAAAGTTATATGTAAGTATTTTATTTCCACCATTCTTATTCAAGCGCACATTGTAATATTCTTGGTATGGAATAGACATGGAATAATTACAAGATGTAATGACGAATTAAACGCAATAGCATCAAAAAAATATACTTTGTTCTGAGATTTTCTTTACATTTACAATCGAGGTTTTAAGAATCTTTTCTTTTTATAAAACCAAGATGTATAAAATGATTAGAAATAAGCAAAAATTAATATTATTTTAAATTCAAGATGTATGAATATGATATGAGTAAATAAAGTGGCAGTTTGGAAAATAAATTTTAGAAATTGTATATTATTTTGTATATATAAATTTTTATCCTAGCGCATAATCATACGAGTCGACTAATCGTCTAAATTAGTAATGTGTAAGAATGCACCAATATTAGATGCATATCGTTCTTCGAATGGATAAATATTTAAAACCTTAACTTTGTAGATATAAAATTACTGATAATTAATACTGTTAATTATGAATCTATACATCAAATCGAAAATTATATTTGTTCATATAGCATACTCATATCATACTCATTTACTTCCGTTGTATCGTCTATTGATTTCATATCACATGATCAAATTTGACAATTGATATATCTCTCTAATTATAAGATGTGCACAATATTTCAGTTCAGTAGCACATATTAGAGTATTATTCATTCTATTAGATTGACCATTTGGCAAATGTACATCACATCACTTGTAATTAAAAATGTCATCAATTCAATATTATTACTTCCAATGGACGAGTATTAAGTAATTATTTTACCGAGTTCTGGCGGCTCTACATAATTATTTAATACATGCGGCGCTTCGTTGAATTCATCGAGTTCATCACCATTATCCGCACCTTGCGCGAGTAAAAAATATTGTTCACTTCTGGTGGGCCATAATAAATGAGCCATTACACAATAAGCGAAACAGTCTGCCGAGTATGTTATACCTATAAATTGGTGAAATGCGAAATACAGGTAAAAAATTAATTTCAACATTTTTACAAACTTCACTTACCTAACAACAGCTTAAACCTCCATAGTGCGCTTATTTGAAGCGCTATAAGTGCTATAATGGGTAAATATATGAACCAAACTAATGACGATGCACCAAAATGAAGGAGAAAGTTCAATTTTTGAGTATTATGCTCGTATGTCATGGTGTTTCGAAGTTCATATAGAAACCATACCATTATGGCACTTCGGAATAACAATATAAACCATCCTGGCCAAGTTTGATATTCATCTATGTCTTCGATAATGTCAACTTCTGTCTGAAAATAAATTGTAGGACGTTAGTAAAATAATTTACGCTTGCTGCAAACTGACGCGTGTGCAATTAATAGAGAAAGTATACATAGTTACCATATTCCACACATATAATAAGATGTGTACAACTCCATAACAAAACCATATAGCAAACACCAGTGGCTTCCATGTTAATTCCATTCTTGTTACTGCCCATCCTTTGGCAAGTAGGAGCAATAATAACATAAAGGACGTCTAGAAATGTATAAAAATAATTTAATATCAAAATTGTGTGCTGATAACACCAAACAATCGCTACCTAACGTTTAAGTTTCTAGATGGATAGTAATCATAAAGCCATATTTTGGAAACATTAAGAATAAATGAATTATGTTTTCTAACAAACTTAAAAGGATTAAAAGATATGGCAATATTATATAGAGAATGTGTTGGATTGCTTGAATTTAATATTTACAGTTTAATAAAGCGTCCAATATTTACGAAAAGATGTTATCCTTACCCGTGACAGGATATCAAAAATATCACCTGCAACTTCTAATTGCTCGTATCCTACTCCGTCTAATGCAAATTTCAACACGTGTATCAAGATTAAGCATACTGCTACGAATTCTAATAATAAACTAGCAGTGAACAATCTTGTTACAGGATGCTTTTGCAATCTCACTGCATACAACTGCAGCGGCACCAGGATGATGTAACACACGAAAAACAGCAAGTACAGTTCGATGGTATTCTGTCTGTCGTACGAGAACTGATAAGTCAAGCTGTTTAGGCCACTGACGTTCGGATTGCCGTTCACCAGCCAGATGTCGTATTCCAACTCGTCGTGCCTGCTATAATACTCCCACTGGCAGGTCGTCTTGTTCCTGTAGCACGCCACCAAGCTCATGTACCAAAATCGTGGCTGCCAGAAGTCCTGTATAACGTACGTAAACTGATGTCCCTTCACGATATTCCACACCGAGTCCTCGTCCGGACATAACTTGTCGCGAGGACACGGCACTCGCCTTCAAAGTACAAAGTTAACGTTAGTTGGGACCTGAGCAAGATGACTGACTTATAATTTTAAGACAGTGTTTTATTAAACCTTTGTTTTTAGTAAGGACCTGAGCAGAATGGCTGACTTATAATATCAAGACAATATTTTATACTTTAAATCTTCGTTTTTAGTAACACAATACTGTCTTGTGTCTTAAACTTAAGTACGAAATGTCGACATTTCTAAGATTTGAGACAAAGGCCAGTACTGTGCGTTAAACATTGTCTTGAAGTTATAAAGTCAGCTATTCTGCTCAGGCCCTTATGAAATATCGGGTGGTGCGCAAAGGCAAAGGCAAAGGTAAGAAATACCTCAAGAAGTCCTGGCCCTCCTCGTTGCAGTCCGGATCGTAGGAGCTCTTCTTCAGCGTGTTGAACATGTAGGCGCACGCGGCGCTCTTGTCCGCGAGCGTCCGATTACCGTAGTACTCGAGGAAGTGGCCGCGGTCGAGTATCGCCAGGGTGATCGGCAAGTCGAATTCCGTCCGCGCGGTCACGTTGCCGAATATGTATCCGTACGAATCCTTCTGCCGATGGCGGTCGGTCTTCTGGAAGCCGAACTTGACGAGGAACCGGAAGAACTCGCGCGTGTCGAACGTGCCGGTGATGTGCGTGGAGCGGGCGTACTCCGGGCGCAGCGACAGGCAGAGCAGCGCGGCGCAGAGGACGCGCACCAGCCGCCGACCGGCGGCGGTCATTTTTCAGGGCGCGCGGACGCAGCCGATCCGCCGATCCTCCCGGCCTCCCGTCGTAGATACGCGATCGTACTCGCGGCCCGCGTCCGTCAGGAGCCGTCGGCCACCCTCAGCATCTTCCGCCGCGAGATCCCACGCAGCTGTTGCCGCACGGCACGCGACGCAGACGCTTCCCCGCGCCACTCATCGAGACGCGACGACACTGGCACTGGCACTCCCCCGGGGGCATCTCCGTTCCAACATTATTGTCGTCGTTGTCGTTGTTGTTGTCGAGTCGTCGCCGCCGCTGGCGATATACGCCGTATGACTCGTATGAGCCGTATCCACGAGAGATAACCGTCGGTTCGGACGGACGCAGAGAGAGAAAGGGAGTAGTTGATGACACACGCCGTGTGTACTCTCCCTCGACACTTTGAACTCGCCTTTTCCTATCGATTTTCCCCACCCAAACAGACCGTCCGCTCCGAAGAGAAACTGCCGCTTCCCGACATCGTCCGGTTGAAACTTTCCTTGGCGCGTGTAATTTTTTTATTTTTGCGGTTACGCAGGAAAACTGGAAAACAAACAGAAGGTTTTTGTTCCGGAGCTCATGCGAATTCGAGCTACTTCAACACGAGAATCTCTTTTTCTCCCCGGAGATTCGGTAGCTTTTGCCAGCAGCTAAAAATACAGTAAATACAAAAATACGACGACGCTGAAGGACGCGACGAGCATGAATTCACCGCGTGTGATATTTGATCTAAATAAATTGCGAATCGCAAATTTACTATTGTAATATTAATAAGAATAATGACCGAAGCATAGCGTTGTCTACTAGCTCTCTGCTTATTCCGTGTTTGTAACAACCAAAATCGTTGTGCAACATTACAAACAGTATCCATTTTTACGCAAGAATGCAAATACATTGCTCCCGAAATAAGGATGATTTCATATTTGGACTTCTTATCGATATTCCACTTGTTAATTTACAAATGTATTAAAGCCGCTTCGAAATGTTCGTTCGCGCCATCTTGCGGCGAGACGCTATCGCAGACGTCGACGACATCGTGTCGGCAGTTTTGGCGCGCTTTGTAGTCAACACCAGCGAGTCCCGCATAGCCTGACAATCGTCTCCTACATTTATGCAATAAATAGGATGTGAGAAATAAATGCATGTGCACCTATTTCTCATTATTTCTCAAAAAGTAGAAAGATGATAACTATATTTCCTGTTCTTACCGCGTGCGCGTGGTACGCTTTCTTGCAGAGACGCCATTACATGACCGAGCCATGCAACGCAAAAGCGCGCCGAAATTATACGTTACTCCCATAAAAGCGCGCCAACTTGAGGCGTCGTTCCTGGCGTTCAGAACGTCCTTAGAATCATTTCATTTACATCCTTGTTTAGCAAATGTTGAAGGATGAATGACGCTAACGAGCAACGTGAGTACTCAGTGGAACTTCTCGTGTAAAATAGGCCTGTTTATTTTAGCTCAACTTGTACAGTTTGTCTTTTTTTCTCTCAGAGTCCAACGTGAAAAGAAAGAGAAAAGATGAACTGTGCAAGAAGTTCAGCTAAAACTAAACTTACAGGTCTGATGCAAAAATGTATCCCGTGTATACGAGCTTACAGAATCCACGTATGAATAAAAGGATTATTCGAAACTACTTTCAAACCCTAATAAATTAAAAATATACAAAATTGCAAACACGCAAGATATTCCTTCGCAAGATAATTTTTGGCCCTGAAAAGGGCCGATTTTGAATAGAAGCAGTTTAGGCACGTTCCCCACGAATTCTGCGGGCCAATTGGATGTCCTTGGGCATGATGGTAACCCTCTTGGCGTGAATCGCGCAAAGGTTGGTGTCCTCGAACAGGCCGACGAGGTAGGCCTCGCTCGCCTCCTGCAGAGCCATAACGGCCGAGCTCTGGAAGCGGAGGTCGGTCTTGAAGTCCTGAGCGATTTCACGAACCAGCCGCTGGAACGGGAGCTTGCGGATCAGAAGCTCGGTGCTCTTCTGGTAGCGACGGATCTCACGAAGAGCGACGGTTCCAGGACGATAACGATGCGGCTTCTTGACACCACCGGTTGCGGGCGCGCTTTTACGGGCTGCCTTCGTCGCCAACTGCTTACGCGGGGCCTTGCCTCCGGTAGATTTGCGAGCGGTCTGCTTGGTTCTTGCCATCTCGAGCGAATTCAAATGCTGTCCGTACGATACGATGATCTATAGCGGTATGATCGTTCTGCCCCAAATTGCCGCGTTTATATAGCGTAGCCGGCCCCACACGCGAGACGCTGATTGGCTAGCGCGACGGCGGTGGGGATACGAGCGGCGGAAGACTGGACGGCGGTGGTGGGGGTACGTAGCGACAGAGAGCTGCAGCCGCTGCAGGGCTGCGTTGCCTGCGTTCGGAAACTTCACACTGGGGTGCACATGCACACCAGCGTCGTTTTGTCCTTGTTCAATTTTTAGTAAGTAACAAAGATAGAACGATGCTGGTGTGCACTCGGACCTAAGTGAAATTTCCGAACGCAGCCCAGAGCGTTGGATCGTGGCACCGATGAGTTGGGACCCCACCCCCCTCGGTCCCCCTTCTTGACACACATGCCGCTATGCATTTATGCAGGCGTAGAATAGAATATCAGGAATTGAGAACTTACTTACCAAACTGCCAAAAGTCGCTAGAATGAGATTCGTGCGACTTCGGAGAGCGAAGCCATATTACGGAATTTTTCATAATGAATTTCGATCGCAGAACTGTTTAGTTATTTCCTAGATTTCTATTGTTTTCTAGAAAAAACGGAATAATTCCAATCGGAATTGTTTAGGTATTTCCTAGATTTCCATTGTGTTTTCTAGAGGAAACTGAACAATTCCGATTAAAGTCCATTCCGAAAAGTTCCATAACAGGTGTTCTATTTCCTTCGCCCTTTTCACATAATTCAGCCGGCTTTCTTTCTATCCAGGGGAATGTATTCAAGAGATTTCATTGGAATCCACAAAAAAATTGATGCTTTTTAGATGCTGCTTTTTTACAACTGCTTACGTCTATGACTCTTATGCAAGTAGACGAAGTGGGGAGACACTGCTTCTAAAGATTTCAGTTACTCTAAATAGTCTAAATCAGTGTGAGTCAAGACTCAGTTCTTCGATAACGTTGAGACGAATCGGGATATCAATTCCCGACAATTTTCCAATTGTTTTACTCGTATTCAACCACAAAAGCAGATTCTCTATGAACACAATTTCTCAAGAAATATTACGAAGGAACTTTGCTCCGCGGCATCGCTTGATTATACTTTGATATTTCTATCGATTGATATGCCGTTTCTTTACGGTCAGTTCTCAGTTGATAATGTCATGTCACACGATAATGATGATGAATGCGTGATGTTGATAGTGACGTTAGTCTACAGCGAGTACCTACACGAGTCGTGTGTACAAAAATCACCGATCTGTGCACAGTAGATCACAGTTTAGTGCAGATAGATACATTATTGCGCTTCGCTGATTAGATTCCTACGAATATATGGTATATCTGCTTTTCTCATTTCTCGAGGAATACGTACCAATTATGTATTCGTCTACACTCTTCACGTCCGTTTTACGTCGCGCGCAGCAGAAGCTGACCGCAACGCGACAGTTATATTTACATGCGTCGCGTCTTCATCACTGTACAGCTCCGCTGACTCAACTTACGGATGACGAGCTCATGACGAAGGAGATGGTTGCTAAATTGGCCAAGCAAGAGATCGCGCCGCTCGTACGTAAGATGGAGAAAGAAGGGAGAATAGACGATGGCGTGTTTCGGAAGCTTTTCGAGAACGGTCTGATGGGTATCGAAATACCGACGGAATACGGCGGAACGGGAAGCAACTTCATGTGCACGATCCTGGCTGTCGAGGAGCTCGCCAAGGTCGACTCGGCGGTGACCGTACCCGTCGACATCCAGAACACCTTGACAAATTCGTTGATCCTCAAGCTCGGGTCCGAGGAGCAGAAGCGCAAGTACCTGCCCAGACTGGCCCGGGATTGCGTGAGCAGCTTCTGCCTGACGGAACCCGGCTCGGGCTCGGACGCCTTCGCCCTGAAGACCGTGGCGAGGAAGGAGGGCGACACGTACGTGGTCAACGGCACGAAGATGTGGATATCGAATTCGGACGTGGCGCGGATCTTCGTGCTTTTCGCCAACGCGGACCCGGCCGCCGGCCATCGCGGCATCACGACCTTCCTCGTGGACCGCGACACGCCCGGTCTGACGGTGGACAGACCCGAGGACAAGATGGGCATCCGAGCGTCGGGCACTTGCGTGGTGCGCTTCGACAACGTCCGGATAGCGGAGGACAATCTGCTGGGCGAGTTCGGGCACGGGTACAAGTACGCGGCTGGGTTTCTGAACGAGGGTAGAATCGGCATCGGCGCGCAGATGATCGGCATCGCGCAGGGATGCTTGGACGCGACCATACCGTACACGTTGGAGAGAAAACAATTCGGGAAAGATATTTTCTCCTTTCAGAGCCTGCAGCATCAGATAGCTCAGGTGGCGACGGAATTGGAATGCGCCAGATTGCTCGTTTACAACGCGGCGAGGTTGGTGGAGGCTAAGAGGGACGTTATGAAAGAAGCGGCTATGGCGAAGCTTTTCGCGTCCGAGACAGCGTGTCGTATCACCTCCAAGTGCATAGATTTTATGGGCGGCGTTGGCTTCACGACTGATTTTCCTCAAGAGAAATATTACAGGGACGTAAAGATCGGTACCATTTACGAGGGTACAAGCAATATGCAATTGTCGACGATCGCGAAATGTATTCGAAAGCAATATTCTTAAATGGCAACAAACGCAATTGCTCCTAAAATTACGATTTATTAGGTTATCATCTTTTCTATGCTTTTCAGAATGTAACATGTATATATAATTAAAACGTGTATACATAATTAAAAATATATTTTCATTGCATACTTTTATAAATTAAGTAAGCAAGAAATAAGATTGTACATTTTTATATATTTTTTTATATAATTATTTAAATAATTTTTAATATATTATATGTATACGTGTATGTATGTGCGCGTGCAAGTTACTGAACATTTTTCTTCAAACTAAGCAATAGATTAAATATCCAATATAACATAATAAGTTGAAAAGGGAAAATATAAAATCTAGCAATATAGATGAAATATTTTATTAATAGTACGTTATATTTTTATAAATATTGAGAAAAGCCGAAGAATATGTTTAATAACCTTCGTATTGTTTATTCATTTTGAACCCGTCACATTTACTGTCTAATTAAAAAAAACAATTATTTTTTATCCTCAATATTTCTTGACTTTATTTCTATATTTTATTTCTAAATTTTAGATTTTTTGGAAATCTCTTTCTTTCTCTCTCTTCCCTCCTCTCCTCTCTTTTCTCTCTTTCTCACTCATTCACTCCCCCTCTCTGCCTCTTTTTCGCTCTCTAAACCGATAAATAATCAGCGCATTGTTTGTTGAGTGGAAAAACTATATAAATTTACACACAAATATATTATTAAACTACAAAAGTACAAAGATCCAACCCGACCAAAGATGGTACTTCTCTATTTACTTGTGAGAAAATTATGTAATTTCATGTGACATATTTATTAAATTATGTAGATATATACCTATATTGAAACTTTAGTTTGATTATAAATGACCGCAAATTGACTTTAAATTATGACAGTAAAAGAGAGAAGTATTGTTATTACTATATAACACATATAATCTATATACGTAGTTATATAGTTTACAGTTTCTTTCTCTATGCAAAAGCTAATACTTTGAGAAATATTGAGGATTGCCTACATAATATATATAACGACACATTTTCGATTACTTACTTTATTACAAAATTTATTTGTCATGAATTATTTTACTAATTATTGTTTTTATGAATTAATTTTATCACATTTTGTAAATCAATATAAATTAGAACCTGCGTTAAAAATCGCATCGTGCTACGTAATTACATAAATGTAATATTAATTTTGTTCGTGTATCAATATATCAATACGCAGTTACTTGAACTGTAACACGCAATACCTGAATTCACTAGTCGAAAGAACTGTCTGCAAAAGAACTATTAATAGAAAATATATCTTTTTGTACACAATCCGGTTTTTTATTCTCCTCCTGCTCCTAGATACCCCAAATATATCTAACGTAAATGCTGAACTATAATCTTATCTACATCAATATTACATGTACATTTTATATACTATTAACTATAGTACGGAATATGACGCTATGTCAATACTTGATTTTATTTAGTTTTAACATCAGTTTATGAATTATGAAACAATACTCCAATAGATATTCTAGAAAGATCTAATAAGTCGGAATTAAGAAGAATGGTACGAATACAATGAGGAATTCATTATACTTTTATGCGTGGAAACTTTTTTTTTTACATCATTAAATATGTAAATTTGCTTCTGGACGATCTATTCATAATTTCATTTGCAAAATCCATCCCACAGATGTAAACAGTTAAAAATTTTATATTTTTATAATTCGGATAATTCCTATATCATCCTGTCGGTACAAGTGTTCCACACATGTACGCAACATGATATTAAATCTTCTGCGCGTTAACGAATATTACGAGCAAACGTATTTGGAGAAATAATCTTTTTTTATTAATAATAAAATTTCAATATTTTCAATAACTTCGATATGTTATTGCCGCTATTAACGCTACTAATTTGCACTAACAGTAAATTAACAAAGCCTGATGTTACATGTGACCGTACCGACACGATAAAAAGGCGAGTTACTCCGGAATTTAGGATTATCATATTTTAAAAGCGCGTAAATTGAATTTTTATTATCATCTTGTTAACAAACATTGTCATTGAGAGAAAAAACCGATTAACCGGGATACATTATTGAATCGATTTTTTTTCTACGTTCTTGCGATAGAAAGCGTCACGTGGCTGTGGGATAAAGTACGCGGTAACCGCTCGTCAGCTTGGTAAACGAGTATCCGGGGATTAATTTTCTGGAAGATTCATACGGCACGTTTGCCGTAAATTTCTTAGACGGACGATAATGAAAATGAAAAAAATCGTGAGATCCATCGATTTGCATTATATACCATTAAGCCAAGAAGCAACAAGGCCATTTTGTGTCGCGCACCTTACGACCCGCGCGTATCCCGAGAGGCCGCGAATGAAGCATCTTATTTTCGGGATGCAGGTCGATAGCGGGGGGAAATAATCGCACGATTACCTGGGGCCGTTCCGTCGGCACATCTTTCCCGTGGGGTACCATCGAAAATCTCCGGGGAAAAGTCTAGTTTTTATGTTTTTCCATGAGCTACGCTATCGGCGCGAAAATACGTGAGCGAGGAAATTCCGTCGTGGACGCGCGCGGACGCGTGCGGAAACGTTCGGTGCGGTCTCGGACGAAACCGCATATACGTGGCTACCCGTCGAGCCATTCCGCGTCTTCCTCACGGTCTTGATCCCGCGGAAATAACGTCGCAAAGTCGAGGTACGTTTACCGCTCCGTTGCTTTCCGCGAAACTAACGGGTCTACATATTGGGTAGGTCTCTCTCCATGGTCCGCGCGTTGGATACTAGAGAGCGCCGAGCGCAAGCTGGCAAACAAACTTTGACTATTCTGCATCCTGTAGGATACATAACCGTGACGATCGTTTTAATCGCAAAACGTAACTCTCGTTGAGGAAAATCGGAAGACAATAGACATGGAGGACAAGGTCAGTGGAAACGCGGCCGCCGACGCGGCGGAGAGCAATTCCGCTCCCGCGAAGAAGGCCAGCAAGAGCAAGGCGAAGTCGCAGCAGAAGAAGGTCTCGTCGCGGCCACCGACCTCCGAGATGGTGACTGCGGCCATTAAGGAGCTCAAGGATCGCAAGGGCTCGTCCTTCCAGGCGATCAAGAAGTACATCGTGTCGACCTACAAGGTAGACGGCGAGAAGGTCGCGCCGTTCATCAAGCGTTACCTGAAGACCGCCGTGTCCGCCGGTGCCGTCGTGCAGACCAAGGGCAAGGGCGCCACCGGCTCGTTCAAGTTGTCGACCGACAAGCCGAAGGACAAAGCCAAGGGGAAGGCGCAACGCGCCTCGCTGGTTCACTCGGACACATGGAAAGCGGGCACCAAGAAGGACGCGCGGGAGAAGACCGCGATTGCGCGGAAACCGGCGGCCGCTGCGAAGAAAACGACCGCCAAGAAGGCTCCGGAAAGCCCGAAGAAGGCAGCTCCCAAGACCGCCGCCGCCAAAACCGCCGTGAAGAAGGGCAAAGCTGCCGCGGAGCCCAAGTCACCATCGAAGGCTAAGAAAGCCGTCAAGGCACCAGCGGCGAAGACCAAAACGCCCAAGCCGAAGAAAGCCACAGCGAAGACCGTGAAGGCCGCGGCGAAAAAATAATTGGCCTGCGAAGAATATACTCGCTACAGTCATAAATGGCCCTTTTCAGGGCCCAAATCATATTTGACGAGGAACAAAAGTTGGAATGTCGCTATTAGTATTTTATTTTATCCCTGACCCTGTACTAAAATTTATTTTGAGATATTTATTTTTATTAACGAGTTTGATACATAGTATATAGTCAATTCAAAGATATTAAATATATTAATGCCCATTTCCATCGATGTAAATTAACTTTTAATGTAAATTTCGGTTTATTTACTTTTTGCCCTTTTCTAGTTTCTAAGAATTAGAAAAAGATGAAATGTAATTTTCGCTAGGTTAAACTGAGATTAAAATTAATCTACATTGATATAAATGGACATAAAGCTTGTTAAGAGTTTTTATATTGAGTAATATGAGTGAGATTAACATTAAAGATAAGATAATGTGACGTACTTGCTTCTTCTAGTTTCTAGTAAAAGAAATGATACGTTAAACAATTCATCATTCTCGCTCGTAACTAGCTAAATACGTAAAATGTGCGAAATAAATTACTAAGTAATTTTATTTATTATATAAATATTATTTTCTTCACACATGAATGTGTCATTAGATTAAATTTATTTTAATGTTATACTTAATATATAGATTTGCTATTCGAACATTGCAGTTTGAGATGCATAACGTTAAGAATTACTTGCATTATATTCTTATAATGTTAATTTAACATTGATCATTTTTATACAGGATGTCTAGTAAATTCTAATTTAATCAGCGAAGAATCAAATAGATCTTACATTTTATTTCCTTACTCAAAATTATTTTATTCGAAAAGTACGCATTCTTTTTTGCTTTTCCAATTATTATTATTATTATCTATATATAGGTATACAAACTTATTAATTTTTGATTTATAGAGAAGTTATGAATATATCTCTGTAATACATAAAGAAAATTGTGCTTCTGCGTTCTTATTCCATTTAGTTACTGAGTTGGAGAAAATTGATTATGCAATCAATTAGAGAAATTATTTAAGATCCAGGCTGGGTCTTAAATAGCAATTTCTCTAATTAATTGTATAATTACATCGGTTCTGTTTCATTTATTATTGTCCACTTACATTATTTTCACACTCGTTCGAAAGATTATTCTCTTTAACCTCAAAATCATGACTATAGCCTATAACTGCGTTCCGATATTTACTGCCAGTACTAAAAATCTAGTGTATGCGACGTAAACTATAGATTTTCAGTACTGGCAATGAATATCGGAATGCAGCCTTATAAGGCATACATTATTTATGATACAATCAAGTTTTGTTGGCGGAGAAACAAGCTGGCACTTATTATTGTTCCATTGTCTAAAAGCGATGATCTTTTTGGCGAACATTTACTTTTGGTACGCATTCTACACCTCTTTCCAATTCTGCATGATTTCTTCAAGTTCTCAGCCAAGTCCTGCCCATTATCGCACTTTCTCAAGTACATATATTATACGGAATTGCTCTCATCTAAGATGTTCCGATGATTCTCGTTCACGTATCTGACGATGAATCCTTCTCACGCGAATAGTTTTTTTTTTTTTTTTTTTTTTTCGATCATTGAGAACACAAATAGTAACGAACCGAAATACGATAGAGATTAATAGAAAACAAAGGATTACAAACTCTTCTGCCTTCCACACGTACTCTGCGTACTATGTATTTAGGCGTTTCAAAACCAATTGTTCGCACTTTATTAGTACCCTGTAAGAAGTCATACACAGTGAGAGGAATAAGGAACAAGGAATTAAACGTAGAGAGAATTCAGAGTCGCATCTTCTTTCAAGGCACAGCTTCTCTCTTTTTTCAATACACGAAATTAAACATAGAGAGAATACCGTGTCTTGAAAAGAGAGAAGCTGTGTCTTGAAAAAAGATACGACTATGTGGGCCATTCTACAATACGTCGCAAACGATGGCAACTGCTACCTAGTTGAAAAATGTTATTTCCATGTTGCGCTTGTCAATTGCGGTTGTCAAAAGAGAGTTGACGAACTTTTAACTTTTTTGACGACAGTAACTGGCAATCGGCAATCAGAAATAACACTTTTCAACTAGCAGTTGCCATCGTTTGCGACGTATTGTGGAACCAGCCTATAGCCGTATTCATAGTGTAGGAGATTTAGGGCCGTAGGGCCAGTATTGATGGGAGATCGGAGATATTAGCGTAGTAGTGGAGCAGTCGTGGGGTAGCAGCCTAAGTGCTAGGCGTGTGAACAAAGGATCCCGAGTTCGAGTCCCGGTCGGCTCTCGTTAATTTTTCCCGTCGCTTACAATAGTTCTTCCTTGAGGAATAAGGATTCCTTGTTCCTTATTAGTTATTCTACATTTCATTAACCTTCCTTGATCAATCAAGAAACCTTACAATTTATGAAGTGTAGAATGAGGAACAAGGAATCCTTACTCAAGGAAGGACTATGAATACAGCTATAATTCCTTGTTCCTTATTCCTCTTATTGTGCATGAGCTCTAACTCTTTAACAACGGTGTAGTTAGGGCTATGAGACACAATACAAAAGTACAGGCAATAGGAACAGGCAGAGAATAGAAATAAGAAATCATGTATAAATGCAGAATAAACAGTGACACAGGCAATAGACACAGTTTCCGTTCACATTGAAATTTCCAATTTGGAAATTCTGTGCCTATTGCCTGTTGCCAACCAATCATAGCATTCGAATTTTTAAGGTTGTTAATTAACGAATTTTTCTTGTTCCCTGTAGTTTATATATTGTGTCATAACCTTTACGTTGTCATTGCGCAGGCATACTATATGGTAAAAAAGCTGCGCAGTGCGCAACGACAATATAATAATATCGATATTGTCATTAGAGTTACAGAATAGAGCTACTGAGCAATGTAATGTTACGTATCAATAAGCTTGTTCTTTTTAGCTGAACTTGCAGGGTTCATCTTTTCTCTTTTTCTCTCCAACATAAAAAGAAAAAGACGAAAGATAAACCGTGCAAGAAGTTCAGCTAAAACGAACAGGGCTAAAGTGTTAGGGCGTATTCAGACAAACTTGCGTAGTTGCATAACCATATGCATAAAACAAATCACCGAATTAACATTTCTATTATAAAAACGCATAAAATGTAATTGGAGAATTTTTTTCATGCATGGTTATGCAGCTATGCAAACTTGTCTGGATAATGTCTTAACGAGCAGTCGTTAACATGTAAGCTGTGGTCCACTTAACATTACAAATGCTTCGAACATTCTTCTTTTTTTCAATGAAGAACACTTCGAAGCATTTGTAGTATCAAATGGACTGCAGCCTAGTTGACGAATGTGCTACGTGAACATGAAACTTAGGTGCGTCGAATAGATTAGATACAAGCCTTTTAAAACTGTACACAGACGTGAATGTGAATTTTGATCATTTGTAGGATAAATATGGGTTATTGGATTTAGATTGCCTGTGATGTGGCTCGCTGTTATTTAATAGTAGCTAAGTGGTATTTGGGTTGAAGCAACATTTGACTTTTTGAGACTACATAAAAATGAATTGAAGATCAAAAACAAGATGTCAAAACAAGTTTTTTATTTCTTAAACGTTTTAATTGATTTCTATTATTAGTAGCAAAATATCTCGTCAAGAACAAGATTTTAGATGTCAAAGCAAGTTTTGTATTTCTCAAATATTTTTAACTGATTTTTATTATTAGTAACAAAATATCTTATTTATTTTCGTACATAATTTCCGAATTTATTTATGCTTTGTAGAAAAAATTCCAACGTATGAAAAATTGTTGGCCCTGAAAAGGGCCGTTGTTTTGATTTGTGACGAGTCGTAGATCGCATTAACCGCCGAAACCGTATAGGGTCCTTCCCTGTCGTTTCAAGGCGTAGACGACGTCCATGGCGGTTACGGTCTTCCTCTTGGCGTGTTCGGTGTAAGTAACAGCGTCACGAATGACATTTTCCAGGAAGACTTTTAGGACACCTCTGGTCTCCTCGTATATCAAGCCAGAAATACGCTTTACACCGCCACGTCTGGCCAATCGGCGAATGGCTGGCTTGGTGATACCTTGGATGTTATCACGCAAGACCTTCCTATGGCGCTTTGCTCCTCCCTTTCCTAATCCCTTTCCTCCTTTACCACGACCAGTCATCTTGAATCACTCGTAGTACGATTAGTACGATGCGAACTCCGTGAGAACTCAGCGGAAAATGCTGTCGACTGCCTGGCTGGCCCCCCTTATATAGCTACACCGGCAGACCTCCGCGGTAGCTATCCCCTCCACTGCGCCAACAGCCAATCAACGGCGCCGCCGCAGCACAATGGCTAGTTGCAGTTTTAGAGGTGATAGAGAAGATGGGAAGAGAAGTGCAACTACTGCAACTTTCTTTCTTCTGCTATTCCAATATCAGAAATGTTCTTGTATATTAGGAATTATTATTTGATATATGCAGGTTTGCCAGGTTTGGCTAGTCCTGGATGCTGCAGAAATTTACATCTTTCTTCGAATCATTTTGCTGCTATGATTGAATTTAACATTTACATATCTGTATTGTTTATTAAAATGTACAATAGATTTATAATGTTGAAGAGTAATATGTTTATGTCAATAACGTGACTTAATGTATCGAATTAAGTCGTTTATCTAATAATAGCGTTTTCGATTTGTTGACTCGATTCGACTCGAGTTAGAGTAAAAGTTCGGAAAAATTATAATAAAACATAATAATATGCCATAATAATTCTGAGAATCTTTAATGAAGGTAAAAAAATGCTTTCTGCCATGAAAATCAGAATTAGTCATCATTAGTCATCGAGTTTTTCAAACCGGACCTCCGATTCCGATTTGACCCGAGTCGGGTCAAGTCAACAAATCGAAAACGGTATAAATGCTTACGTCAATGATGTATTTAACATATATAGGCTGCCTTTCGATATATTCACTACCAGGATTGAAAAACATTTTTATGTTACTGTATAGATTTTTAGTACTGACAGTGAATATCAGAACGTAGCCATAGTTCTACGAATTGTATAAATAAAATTTTAAAATTCTTACATGCATAATGTCCTAACCCATGCATGTTACATATATATATATTACAAATAAACGTTTTTTAATACATGCATTCACATGCATTCGAAACAAATCGTTAAAACCAATCTCTTGTTGGATTTCAAATTGATTGAAGAATAAGAATACTCTATAATTTTCATACGATTTATAATTCGCCATAACCTATCGCAATAAATTATGAAATACAATTCAATTTAAAGCCGAACGGAAACTACATCCGAATATATATTTAAAAAATAAGACAAAAACTCGTCCTTATATAGAAATATGTGTAAAAGTATAACATAAAAATGTTACAAAGATGAATATATATGTATCTTTGGCGGTGTAATGTATCAAAGCAAGTCGTAGGATGTTCTGAAAAAAAATCATATCGTTTTTTTAAAAAGAGCTGATGATTGATTACTGTAATCATCGCGAAATTTATATTAACTAAACGGAGTCCTTATTCTCTCTTGGCGTTTTAATACGACATTCATGTCTACTATACAATCTGTTCCGTTAACGCACGTAATACATTATGATTATGAATGATTTTCCAAAGGAAAGATCGTAGGCGTCATAATCGGTATCATGTTTCCTTGTAGATTAAGCCGGAAATTCGTTCGCCATCAACGCCTTCAACAAATTGATGAACAGTTTTGTTTAATGATATTCTAGATTATGCAAAACCTTTCCCGATTTCTCTTTTGTCCTGATTGATTATTCCGAATATCGATTAAGACTTCATTATTATACTTTTCAGTATACGTACCCAAACAGCACCATATCCAAAATCGGGCCACAAGACATTTTACAGACATTTTTAAGACGTCTTATGTCCCCATTTTAGATATGCGTGCTGTCTGGGTAATAATTACTTCTCTCAAGATTATATGCTTCGGATATTTTTTTATTTTAGTTTTGAGTGTATAGCCTGTTCTGCTACTTTTACTTTTTCTTCGTACATTGGAGTCGGAGGTCGCTTGTCGAATTTTAACCTTAATCCCTCCAATCATGCACTTTCGTGTCCCACGTGTTTCTAACGGTCGTTCGTTCCGGAAAACCAACGGCCGTGGAATATCCATGCGATATGTTCTAAGATCAGCTCAGCGAGGACAGAAACCTCGCGTAGAGCAAAAGGGCAAAAGCTGGCTTGATCTCGATGTTCAGTACGCATAGAGACTGCGAAAGCACGGCCTATCGATCCTTTTGGCTTGAAGAGTTTTCAGTAAGAGGTGTCAGAAATTAGAGTAAAAAAGAGGTGTCAGAAAATTAGCAAACTTAATCAAACATTTTATATATTATTGTAACAGATCTTAATATTTTTTATTACGGTAGATATTAATCAGTATAACTCGCATAAAATTTTCAGGGTAAATTTTAAGAGAAAATTCTCTCTGTGTGTGTGTGTGTATATATTTTATTTTCTAACTGTATCTTCTTAACATTTGTTTTCCTTGAGATTACGAAATTAAATGCTTTTAAAAAAGATTATTTCCGCCAGCATATTTGCTGACGAATCAGCGAGCGTGGAGGGAGTGATAAGAGTGATAAATAGGAGATAAGAAATATTATTAAACTGTGTACGCTCTCTGTTTACAGACAGTGCTTATTAGTCAGTTACTAAAGAAGCGCTCCCCTTTTCGTACTTCGCTGAAGTATCTCGCATTTCGTCTAAGGTTTCAATAGATCGGCACAATGTACGACGTACAGAATAAGACTATAATGATCACTGGAGCAGCTACTGGACTAGGCTACAAGTACGCCGAAATACTGCTTCGTAATGGTGCAAAAAGCGTCGCCGTGGTCGACTTGCCGAGGTCGAACGGCCAGAATGCGGCGGCTACGTTGGAGAACGAATTTGGGAAGGGCCGCGTCGTCTTCTTCGCTTGCGACGTGACAAAGGCTGACGATCTGAGGAAGACATTCGAGAAGATCGTCGACGCGTTCAAAGGGCTTGATATTCTTATCAATAACGCTGGTATATTGAACGATAAATACTGGGAGCAGACAATCGAGCTCAATGTGAAGGCGCTAATCAGCGGCTCCATGTTGGCGTTCGACTACATGGGGAAGCATAAAGGCGGCAAAGGCGGTGTGATCGTGAACATCGCGTCTGTAGTCGGCTTGTACCCGGCTTACTTTCTGCCGATGTATTCCGCATCGAAACACGCCGTTCTGGGATTCAGCCAAGCTCTGGCGAGCATGCACGATAAAACTGGAGTGCGAATCGTTATTATGTGCCCGGGCGTTACGAAGACCGACTTGGTCACAAATATCGACGATAAAATGTGTGATTCCGTCAAGTCTGTGATAGGTAGCGCCGATGACGATTTGGCGGAATATCCGACCCAGACTACCGACTATGTCGCACTTGCGATGCTAGATCTCATTCAGAAGGGTAAAAACGGAGCGGTTTGGGTTAGCGAAGGTGCTCAACCGCCATACGCCGTGGATTTCACCCATTACTCCAAGCGTTCTCTGCCCGTATAAAGTTGATACTTATTAAATACTTGATAACTTGCTTTATGTTGTTTTACTTTGTTTAAATTTACACGATGGCTATCAAATCAATTATGTTTATTATGTGTATGAAATTATATCAAACTTAAAATAAATAATGTCATTATGACCGAATTTATCATATTCACGATAATTAATATTAATAAAATATCTTTCCACTTCTTATCCTGAAATTTAGTCTTAAAGTCTTAACGATTCTACATAAAATCATTGACAATGCAGGTAAAGTTCTAGAAATAAAAACATATTTCAAGAGATTAAAGAAATTCTTTCAAAATATATTAATGTTTAGCAATCAATTAAATCGTTTTGAATAAGACATAAAATAATTTTAGTAATCTTCTTTAATTCACTTCCTCTTTTAACAATTGGTTTGTGGTGATATTTTATAATTTTTTCTCTCAATTACAAAACATTTTAAATTCATTAAAGTTTGCAAGTTGAAAAACGCACTTGAAAAACAAGATTTATGGTTTAAAGATAACTTTACGCTCTCAAAATGCAAAAAGTAATGAAAATTATATTTTAATTTACATAAAATATACTATACGAGTATTTGTTTAGTTATCTCAGAAGTTCTGTTCATTCTTTTTACAACAGTAATGCGTTCTCATATCAACGTAAATATAAAAAGAAAAAATAACTAATTGTATCAGCTTAAAAAATTCTTAAATATAATTTACAGCAAGCATTTGATGTTTCAGTGTGTGCAATTTCAAGATTCAAACAAATAGTATGCTACATGCATGTTTATAAATGACATAAATTTTTATTTTGTACAACTTTAGTGTGTATAAGAATTTTATATCTTTCACTTATATTCATAATTTTTAGCATTATATAGCAGTTACAAGTAAAAAATTAAATAAATATTACGAAGATATATTTTTAATATATTAGTTTATGTCAATTAATTATAGATGCATGATTAAATAAAGGTAGTATATAAAATAGTAGAGTATATAAAAATAGTATTGCAAATGGGATATTCATCGTATATGAAAAAATTGGTGGCCCTAAAAAGGGCCGTTTGTGATTGCTGTGCTGTAGTTAAGCCTTCTTCTCGGTTTTCTTGGGCAGCAAGACCGCTTGAATATTTGGCAGTACGCCACCCTGAGCGATGGTAACGCCTGAGAGCAGCTTGTTCAACTCCTCGTCATTGCGAATGGCCAGTTGTAAGTGCCTGGGGATGATCCTGGTCTTTTTGTTGTCGCGAGCGGCGTTACCCGCCAACTCCAACACTTCTGCAGCTAAGTACTCCATCACGGCGGCCAGGTAGACCGGGGCGCCGGCGCCGACGCGCTCAGCGTAATTTCCCTTTCGCAGAAGTCTATGAATACGACCGACGGGGAATTGCAGTCCAGCACGATTGGAGCGGGACTTCGCCTTTCCCTTAGCCTTTCCACCTTTGCCACGGCCAGACATAGTTGCGATCAGTGAACTCGGAAACTCTGCAGAACGTAGTTAAGCGTTTGATAGCTTGGCTCGTTGTGTTCTTCCCTGGCGCCGCGCTGGGGTATTTATACCGTGTCGCGACGGCTGCGCGCGACCAATGGGGAGCCGCGCGCGTAACGATTGGCTGCGGCGCGCCTCGCGATTGGTGCGGCGCCACCATCGTTCCACTGTATATAAAGACCGCGTCGGGTCAGGATCCGTCACTTTTCGAAGTTCCGTCTCAGCGATCGTTTGTACGGCTCTTTACGAAATCCTGAAGCATTATGCCACCTAAGGCGAGCGGCAAAGCTGTGAAGAAGGCCGGTAAGGCCCAGAAGAATATCAGCAAGACCGACAAGAAGAAGAAGCGCAAGAGGAAGGAGAGCTACGCTATCTACATCTACAAAGTACTGAAGCAAGTACACCCGGACACCGGAATCTCCAGCAAGGCTATGAGCATAATGAATAGCTTTGTCAACGATGTCTTCGAGCGCATCGCCGCCGAGGCGTCGCGTTTGGCTCACTACAACAAACGCTCGACGATCACTTCTCGGGAGATCCAGACCGCTGTCCGGCTCTTGCTACCTGGAGAACTGGCCAAGCACGCCGTGAGTGAAGGCACCAAGGCTGTCACCAAGTACACCAGCTCCAAGTGAAGCGTTCCTCTCCAGATCAACGGCCCTTATCAGGGCCACAAATTTCTTCATACGATTGGCATTCTCACGGTTCCAATATTTCTGAATATAACAATTTACGTATATACCTATTACGTATATACTATTCACGAAATTATAAGATTCTTAACTTTTGTATCGTGGAAGAGGTAATGAAATGAACTTTGCACGGTTCATCTTTCCTCTTTTCTTTTCACAATTCACGTTACATTGGAGAGAAAAAGAGAAAAGATGAACTGTGCAAAAAGTCGAGCTAAAAAGAACAGGCTATAACGGTCATCTTATTTGTAATTTTATACATTATTTAATTTTCGCGTATCGAACTCGTCAACGTAGACTCATATGTAAACTATAATTTAAAAATATAAAAATACAATTTAGGAACAATTGTGGTAAAAATTGTACATTTGTGTCTAGCCCTAGCCTGGGAACTCCCATTCTTTTTTGTTAATTTTGAAAATTCTATAACAATATCTTTTTAAATTCTTATATTTATATTATAACGTCGAAATTTCTTGGGCCGGATAGATAGAGCTTCACGAGAGCCAAATCCATTGGCTGTAGGTCGTTAGCCTAGCCACTTTGAAAAAGACAATGATTTAAATATTGAGATTTCGATTTAAGGAGCTCAAGCGCACAGGTCATAAGGCTGTCCGAGATGTTTTATGTAAAATATATAAAAATAATTCTTTAACACTTTTAAATATGCGTTAGCTAAAATTGTATGAAATCACGATACAAGTGCAAGTATATCGTGGCGCCATCTTTCTGTATGCAAAATAATCGCTGCTGCAGTCTGCAATATCTTTATAGTGGCTTTTTGGGGGGCATTGGTTAGAGTCCCGTATGTTTCGCATTTCTTGTAGACGAGACATGTCAAGATATACATAATACCCATGTGTCAAAATATGTATAAAGTGTTAATTACTACGCTGTACTACGCTCTTTTATTTAATTAACAATAATATTTAGATGCGTGGTGAATATGGTGATAAATACAGTGCTAAAGGTAAATACCGGATCTGTACTTAACTCTGGATTTGTTTCTAAACACATTAAATGCTTGTTATAGGTTAGTCGTAATATTGTTAAATAATTTATTGAATATCTGTGCGTGAGTTGTAAAAATGTTGAGGCGACGACATGTCAATGTTAAAACAGTCAAGGAACTGGACGCGTTCCCGAAAGTTCCTGAGTTATATGTTAACAAAACTGCGGTTGGGGGAACATGTAAGTTAACAGATTTATTAGTACAATATTTATATTAAAATAATGTTTAATATGTATATGTTGTACTTATCCGTGCTCCTGTCTGCTCATCCTGACCGATTATTAATAATCTGGTTTTGTTTCAGTTTCTATTTTTACAATTCTCATTATCGCATATTTGGTAATAGCTGAAACGAGCTATTATCTTGACAGCAGATTGCAATTCAAATTCGAGCCAGACACCGAAATCGATGCAAAACTGCAAATCAATATTGATGTAACGGTGGCAATGCCGTGCGGTCGTATCGGTGCTGATGTTTTAGACTCTACGAATCAGCATATGATAGATTTTGATTCTTTGAAGGAAGAGGATACATGGTGGGAATTAACGTCAGAACAAAGGGCACATTTCGAAGCTTTGAAGCATATGAATTCATATTTGAGAGAGGAGTATCATGCCATTCATGAATTGCTTTGGAAATCCAATCAGGTTACTCTTTACAGCGAGATGCCAAAGCGGTATGTGCAAACTACCATTTATTTACGATTCTACGATATTTGTTGAAAAGTGTGCAGATATGCATTAGTTGCTTGCGCATACATAACCTCATACCGTTTAGATCATACGAACCGGATTACGCACCAAATGCCTGTCGTGTTCATGGTAGTCTGAATGTCAATAAAGTGGCGGGCAACTTTCATATAACTGCGGGTAAATCGTTGTCTGTGCCACATGGCCATATACATATTTCTGCATTTATGACAGATCGGGATTATAACTTTACTCACAGAATCAATAGATTTTCTTTTGGCGGACCTAGTCCAGGCATTGTGCATCCCCTTGAAGGCGATGAGAAGATCGCAGACAACAGTAAGTTTGCTTTTTATCATTAAATACTGGGACCAAGTTGGCATAATTTTTCACATATTTAATGGATGTTTCTTTCAGATATGATGCTTTATCAGTATTTCGTCGAGGTTGTCCCTACAGATATCAGAACATTATTAAGCACTTCTAAGACATACCAATATAGTGTCAAAGATCATCAGAGACCAATCGATCATCATAAAGGATCTCATGGAATACCTGGAATTTTTTTCAAGTACGACATGAGCGCACTTAAGATCAAAGTGACTCAGGAACGCGATACAATTTTTCAGTTTTTAGTGAAATTGTGTGCTACTGTTGGTGGTATTTTTGTTACAAGCGGTAAGTACTTGCAAACAATCAATTTTTCAGTAAATAATAATAATAATGCAAAGAGTTATACTGAATTATCTAAATTTGCAGGATTGATTAAGAATGTTGTACAAAGCTTCTGGTATGTTGTAAGCTGCAAATTTTTAAATTTGGAGAAGAAAGCAGATAATTATGGATTATCTGTCCCATCACATTCCACAAATTATCGGCCTCCTAATACTATAAATTTACTTGATATTACAGCGCCTCAAAGTATTGATATCATGCAGCCTCAATAAAATTTTATATTATGTTTTATTATACAGAAGTTCATAATTATAGCGTAAATCTGTGAATATATATCGTAATATGAATATATGAGTAATATTTATGATAAGAAGTGATTAAATAATAATTAATGACACATTGATACATTTAATGATACAAGCCTTTATTATTAAATATACAAATGTTCTAAGAATGTGTATGAACAGTTTTGTTACAAGAATGTGTTTAATACGAAAACATACGAAATTGCAATTATGGGTGTGCTTATAGCGTGCGCATTGTATTTAAATATTGAATCATGGATATGTACACGCGTATCTTTGATGGCATAATAGCCACAGTTTTGCGTTCATATTATAGATATTATAGTGAAAGAGAATTTAGAATAAATAAAGCTTTTAAAATTGCAATGCTTCGAGTTTCAATTTATGTAATTTTTTTTCCAATTTTTAATATTGTAAAACTAAATTTTTGTTAATTATTAAAAGAATTTAGGCTGGATTCGGGGAGCGCGCTATTAGCGCTATTTGCTTATTCTATCCTTGTTTTACACCTGATGAGCGATAAAGACAGAATGATGCAATAGCGCTAATAGCGCGCTCTTCGAATGCAGCCTTAGAATGACTTATTTCTTGTAAAGTGTCGGTAACCTTACTT